TTCCATGTTCACTGCGAATATAACGTGAGAATTTTTCCCAGTGCCATTTGAAAATTCCATGAGCAAGAGTTGCCATTAGAGAATAAAATAAGCAGAATGAGTCATCATTCCGAATCTAAAATAAATAAAAATAAAATTGTTGTTTTTTCCCGGCCTAATATTTCATTTCTCACTTTACTTAAAAATCTAAAAATATTGGAAATTTTATTCAAGTTTTATATCTAATAATAATCAAAATTCATAAAACGTGGTAAACTGGCCTTAATCAATGCTTTTTTATTAATTTGATGATGTACAGGGTGCAATTTTCTTCCAGCTCCTGGTAGTTGATGTTCAAAAGATAAACTGCTCTTGTCAACAACAGTAGCTGTAACAGTGAAGGGTTGCCCCCAAAGAGACACATCCTTCTGTTTGAAGCTCTGGGCCACGAGAAGAAAACGGTTGAGGATTGCCTCAACCGAATTATCATTAATATCTCTGAAAAATCGTAATTTTATTAAAAATATTTACAGGAAATCTAAACTAACCTAACAGGTACCCAGATATCATGTTCTAAAAGTGGGCTGGTAATCACACAACCTAATTGTTCTACTTTCAAACCGCGTTTACGGCTTTCTTCCACAGCCTCGTCAATGAAAAATTGAAAAATTCCTAAAATTTACGCGTCAATAACATATTGTATTAAAATATGAAAATGTCAAACATACCACTTAATAACCCCTCAGGGTCTCGAGGTAAATTTTTAACCATAAACTTGCTGCGACTCTTTATTAATTTAAATTTTCTATTATGGTCAATTGTTGTTTCAAGTCGTTCAATATAATCCTCCGGTTTTTTCGAAGTTCCTTCTCCTAATTGTTGTTTACTTGTTGAAGGATTAGTAGCATTTGAAGAATTATTAAGACCAAGTAAATTGGCAATAGAAAAAATCGATTGAAGTCCAATAAGATTTTCAATCGTAAAACGGGTTCGTTTTGGAGGTGGTTGATCCTCCATTTCGCGTGAGCGTTTATTAGAATTATTATCCATTTAAAATTAAAACAAAAAATTATTTTAGTAATAAAAATAAATGAATGAAAAAATTTTAAATAATTCAATGATAAAAATGAAATAGTTTAGATAATTTTAGTGATAAATGTAAAAAATTAAATAATTTTGTTAAAAAATATAAAGCAATTTAAATAATTTTGGTAATAAAATATGAAGCAATTTAAATAATTTTACTGATAAAATTTAAATAATTTGGATAAAATTTAAAAAATGAAATAGTATAAATAATTTTAGTGATAAAATTTTAAAAAACGGAAGAATTTTAATAATTTTAGTGATAAAAGTAAAAAATATAAAGCAATTTAAAAATTTTGGTAATAAAAATAAAAATTTAATTAATTTTGGTAATAAAAATAAAAAGTTTAAATAATTTTAGTGATAAAAATCTAAAAAATGATAAAATTTAAATAATTTTGATAAAAATTTAAAATGTTTAAATAGTTTTAGTGATAAAAATCTAAAAAATGATAAAATTTAAATAATTTTGATAAAAATTTAAAAAATATGAGGCAATTTATATAATTTTATTAATAAAAATTTAAAAAATGAAAAGTAAAAAAAAATGTAAAAAATATATGCGAATGACGAGGTTATTACAATTTTACGATATTTATACTCTGTCAATTAGCGACGATAAATTTTTGGCGGGCTTTTTGAAAGGTCAAGGTCATCAATCATTAAGAATTTTATTACCTTACCATATTCGAAAGATGTCCTGGACAGATGGTAATTTGTCTTTGACAGGTTGTAATGTAATAAAAAAGATCAAAGGGTGCCGCCTTTGACGGACCCCTCAACCCCTTTCTTGACATGTCACATGTCACTCTTCCTTTTTATAAAGTTTAAAAAAGGACGCTAAAAATATTTGAATTTTAGTGTAATAAGTGTAGTAAACAAAGTAATAAAAAAGTAGTAAACAAAGTAATAAAAAAGATCAAAGGGTGCCGCCTTTTACGGACCCCTCAACCCCTTTCTTGACATGTCACATGTCACTCTTCCTTTTTACAAGGTTAAAAAAGAACGCTAAAAATATTTGAATTTTAGTGTAATAAAAGTGTAAACAAAAGATCAAAGGGTGTCGCCTTGTGTCAGTCAAATATTAATTGTCGCGGACCCCTCGTCATTGACCTACTTTCCCTATCCCTTGCGTGTTTAAACTAAATTTTTAAACCTCATCTTAAAATTTGGCGGGCTTTTTGTAAAGGTCATCAATCATCTTTACCATCTGTCAACAGATGGCAAAGATCAAAGGGTGCCACCCTGTGTCAGTCATTAATAATTCATGACATATTAATACATATCTAATTTATTACACTTTACCATTTTTTATTACCCTCGCGTGTTTTAAACTAAATACCGTAATTTTTCAGATAAAAATTTTTTAACTACTTAAAATGTCACAAGAAGAAGGGACCAAATATTTTAATATAGAGGTATCAATAAAATTTATAAAATTAAATAGAAATGTAATTGTAGGGATTTTGTCAATACAAATCCTGTGTAAGACACAGTTATCTCACGGCTTTAAATTCATCTCTGAAGAATGGGGAGAAGCTTGATAAGGGTGCACGTTGTAGTTTTATTTATCACTACTTCTTTGGTTGGCACTGGTGCGAGGAATGTTTAAAGTTCAATTTATTGAAGAAACAAAGAAAGACATTGATACCGATTACCGAAAATTTATTCTTTTACTCTTTTTGGCTTTGCACTGATTGTGCACTTTTTGCCACAACACCTGTGTAATTTACAAAATAATTCATTGTAAAAGTTTATTTACTAATTTAACTACAAATAAATCTGGATTTTGTTTTGTATCTAATAATTTTAAATATTTTTCAAAAGATAGGCCTTGAGATAGGAAATAAGTTAGAGAGATACAATGATGAGCGCAAGTTTTAGCTATAGGTGATTGATAGGGTTTAACATTACGTTTAATATTAGAAAAATTTTTAAGAAATGAGTTAAAAATACAAGTACTTATTGGAAGAGCTAGGCTATCGAAATAGTATATTTTATTAAAATTTATATAAATTGCTATCCAATGAGATCCCTTCTTTCCTCTTGGATCTAAATTGACAATGTATATTGATTTTTTGAAATCATTCTTTGGAATTAAATCACACGGGAAGCATCCCCGAAAAATTTGTCTTGTCCTTGGATTCGAGTTCAATATCTGGGTTATTTTGTATCCGTTCATCGTATGCTTAATTTAAAAATAATTTTCAAAGTTTATCTCATTTACCTTCGAACTTTTTTCTGGGGAGTACTACTTTGAACCAAAGTATTGAGCGAAATTGAAAAATAATTAGGCTAATTATAAACAAAATGTATAAGACTATCATTCCCCAGCAAAAAATATGCCCATATATATTATTTTCCCCAGGGCTTTCTTTGCAAAGTTGAATAGTGGGGAAGTTTGGAAAATCCATTTTAATAGGAAAGGATGTAGATGTTGTTGTTCTTTTTGCTAAATATTCTGCGTATTCAGGGAGATGTTCCACTTTTGAAATATCATCTATACTTAGTGATTCAACAAAAGGAGAAAAAATTCGAATAAGAAAAATAACAATTGAAATTTTATTCATTTTAAAATTTTAATACAATATTGAAATCTGAATCTATTTATATAGTAGTGTCACTAGCAATAGTACGATTTTTATCTAGAATAATTAATGAATCTGCTTCGCCCATAGCTACAAGCATAATTCCCCCTTCGGGCACTGGTTGACTGAATTTAATATTCACAGCAGTTGTCCCATTCTTTATTAAATCAAATAGTCCTCCTTGGTCATCACCACTATTTGTCAGGTTAAATATGTATATACAATGGGTACTACCGTACTGCTGATAAGTAATTCCATTACTTTCTGACGAAGTTGCTAGCCCTATGGCATCATTCATATCATTAAATGCTCTAACATATTTTCCATTCATATAATCAAAGTCATAGGGGGCTTGAGGATAACTTCTCCCGTTCGCTATTATTGTAATTTCGCGAACATTAAAGGGTTGGAAGTTGAAAGGACTGCGTCCATAATTTCCAACATAATCAGAGTTAGAGACAAGTCCAAGTGTTATTCTTCTAGGTATTTGATCCATAAAAAGGTTGGCATTAAATTCATATCTCCCTTGACTAATAAAGAGGGGTTTCATCATAGTCTTTCTTATAGCATAACGGGCTGGTTTAATGTCAAGTTTTCGGGCAATGTCCAAAGCTAAACCATCCATAAGATCCATCTTCTTTACATAAAGTTTACAATTCACAACTTCAAAATAGTAACGCGTAGGTTGGGCAAGACCGAGAACAGGAGGGGCAATTAGAACAAATTTTGCATCATTTGGTAAAATTTCAATATCCACTTCGCATTGATTAATTAAATAAAGAGGCTGATTAAAAATATCAGCATCAAGTTTTGAAATAAACTGAGCTGTGTTGCTCGATGAAAATAATCTTCTCCTAGCTTCATATCCAGCTCCGCTTTCTAAATTTGTATCTGAACCAAAATAATACCCTGCTGCATTAAGATGGGAGCTTTTTGCTCCTTGAGAATACGATAACTCGTAAGACAAATATGTTTTGTAAGCGTACAAAGAATTTGAATTAAAAATTTCGCGCCCATTAATATTAATTTTCATATTGTTAATAAACGTTTGCCCTATAAGTTGAATTGGTGCAACATTGTCTGTTGCAGCAAGGTTTACCAAGTAACCGTTTTCATTCTCTTTTCTTATTCTAAGTTCAGTAAAAAGGTAGCATTTTGACAAGTCAATATAATTTTGGCTTGAATGAATTTTAAAATGGTAGGGTGTATCTGTAAGAGGATTGCTGGGAAGAATTTCAAATACTTTAGAAGACGTTACTGTAACATTTGTAGGAGGAATTTGAAAGAAGTCAAGTGCACTAGTTATAGAATTTATGCTTTCATTATCGATTTTTTGAAAAGCCATTTTCAATAGAGTCCAAATGCGTCTGATCTTAAACGTTTTTTAACTTTTTTGCCAATAATTGTTTGATATGAAGGTATGGCATGCCTTTTTATACTCTTTTTACGCCCAGTACCAAATTGTTTTGGTAGCCCTCCTTTCTCGAGTACTGTATCTATACCTCTTCTTCCTTCTTCTCTAAGTGCTGCTTTAATTGGCTCTCCTTGATTTACTCTCTCTAATACCCTTTGACCAGTATTTAACGCTTCCCCTGCTACAGTAGTACCCGCTTGTTTTATTATTGGGAGGAAAAAACGCCAAAGTCCTCTCATTACATCACCAATCCCTGCTCCTCTTTGAGAATTACCGTAACCCCTTTGAAAGGGCGATGAACCTTTAAAGTAACTGTATTCATCAGATATTCCACTTCCCTTCATAGGAAGAAATTCTTCATAACCGACAGATCTTGTATCAAAAATTACATGAACCATTTTTTAAAAATATTTTATTCAAAATAATAAATGAAATTTGCAATTTTGAGGGTATTTATATAGACACGACAAGTGAAAATTAAAAATTTATAACTTTCTTAAAGATTAAAACTATCATCACTGTCCCAAATGCAAAGGGAACGAGTCTTCCTCCATCCATTGTTCTTAATTCTATCTCAATCTCGTTGATTTCCTTAGGAAGCACACGAATGTATATTGGTGAGTCATAAATCTTTTCCTGATACTCTCCAGGATTACCAGACACTGAAACAACTCTTAATAGAGAGCTTAGGGAATTGCCAACGATCATATTTTCTGTTAAACCTTTTGAATACACAGCAAAACTTGAGAATCCTCCTCTTAAGTCACTTCCATATTTTGCAATCTCATTATTCATGACCATATTTGTATTTTCAAAGCCCAAAACATAACCCAGTTGAGGAGAAAACGATATATATTTAATATTTGGATGAGAATATTCCATTTTAAAACGTTTAAAATCATTGTGAAAGGACAGAGAAATAGAATCTATAATTTGTTTCTGGACAGTAGCATCTATTTTGTCTTTTCTTAGATAACTGTATTTTTTTAAGAGCCCTTCTATCATTGGTAAATAATTTTCTCTTTGAAAGTCAGTAGGGGGTTTGCCAATTACATGTGTTAGAACTCTCTCCATATCATCAGTCCATTTTATTTTTTGTTGAACGGTTGATTGATTTTGTTTTAACGGAAGAGCTTCAGGGAGTGGAGGAAGAGTTTGTATAGGAGGGGGTAGTGGAGTTTTTGGTGGAGTAGTAGGTTTTGGGAGGGGAATTGATTTTTGAGGAGGTAAAATTCTAGGAGGTGAAGATGGAGGTTTTTGAGTAGGGGGAGGTGGAGGAGGTTGTTGTGGAGTAGAAGGTTTTTGAGGTTGGAAAAGTTGTGGTTTTTGAGGGGTTGGGGGTTTTTGAGTAGAAGGTCGAGGTGGTTGTGGAGTGGATTTTTGAGTAGGGAGAGGCGAGGGAAATTGTGTAGTAGGTTTTTGAGCAGGAGGAGGTGGTTGTGGAGTAAGAGGTTTTTGAGCAGGAAGAGGTTGAGTAATAGTGGTTTTTTGAGTAGGAGGTGGTTGTGTAGTTGTAGGTTTTTGTGTAGAAGGTGGTGGTGGTTGTGGAGTAGGAGGTGGTTGTGGAATAGGGGGTTTTTGAGTAGAAGGTGGTGGAGACGGTTGTGGAGTAGGTGGTTGTGGAATAGGGGGTTTTTGAGTAGAAGGTGGTGGAGACGGTTGTGGAGTAGGTGGTTGTGGAATAGGGGGTTTTTGAGTAGAAGGTGGTGGAGGTGGTTGTGGAGTAGGAGGTTTTTGAGTAGTAGGAGGAGGTGGTTGTGTAGTAGTAAGAGGTTTTTGAGTAGAAGATGGTGGAGGCGGTTGTGGAGTAGGAGTAGGTGGTTGTATAATAGGGGGTTTTTGAGTAGAAAGTGGCTGTGTAATAGAAGGTTTTTGAGTAGTAGGAGGTGGTTGTGTAGTAGTAGTAGGTTTTTGAGTAGGAGGAGGTGGAGATGATTGTGGAGTAGGAGACGGTTGAGGTGTAGTAGATTTTGGAAGTTGTTGCACTCTAGGAGGGGAGGAAAGTTTGATTGAAGAATTCTCATTTTCTTGAGGTGCAGGTTTCTTTGCCGGTGGAGTAGAAGACGGTTTTGCAGGATCAACCCATCGCGGAGGAGAACCAGCTTGTATCCTTGGAGGCGAAGGTAGAGTCTCCTCTAAACTTCGTTTTGGACGTTCAACTCTTGGTGGCGAAATTAGAGTAGGCTTATCGACAAAACTATCAGTTTTATTTTGAGGAGATTCTTCAAGAGATCCACTTTGGTGTTGTAATGTTGATGTTAAAAAATTTAGTAAATCTTCCGATTTATTGTGTGAACCTCTTGGTACAGGTACTCTTATAATTTTAGCTTTACCTTGAAAATCTGTACAGTGAATAGCAATCCATTGTTCGTCAAGTGTACCAATGGTTGAAGGCCATGAATATGGGTATGAAATGCTATGTAGTCCACAAACCCAATCTCCAGAAAAATAAATCGGTTTCGGGAGATGAACCCGAAACTTATTAGGCTGATTATCGGGATAATCAGTTGTATTACTTAGTAAGCAAACGTAAAAACTGTTTGACATTTTTATCTCAAATAAAATTATACAATGTGAAAACAAATGTCTTTTATACTAACTGATTCTCGTGTATCCATTCTCTCTCGGGGTAACCTATATATTTTACAAGTAATTCATATGCACCATCTGGTCGCTTTCTTTTTTGATAAACCTTCTCTATTCTGTACTCGGTCCCTGCATCCTTTTTCACTTTAGTGAGTTCCTCATTGTAATACGATCCCTTGTACTTATTACCTTTGTCATCTACTAATTTGTAACGAATGGGTCTTGATTGGTCTTTGACTTTGTCAACTTCCACTATTACGTCACCCCAATTTGGAATATATCCCTTTTCAAATGTTCCTTTATTAACACTCATACGAACAAAATCTCCTTTATTAAATTTTGGCTTGGCTTTTTTAATTTTTGTAGACAATTCATCTCCATAAATCCTCTCCCACACCTCTTGAGCATTTTTAAAGTTAACGTCAATTGGTCTCATTCCGTGAACCCTACTCCTTGCTTTATTGATACCGTCCAAAATTTTTGGTAAAATTTCTATCCATTTAAGTGTTTTGTAGTGGGCAAAATATCGATATAATCGTTGTTTAACATTTCTAATTGCCCGCTCCGCAAGCGAAGCTTTAACTGTTGAATGGGTTGCCTCAAACTTTTCAATTTCTTCTTTTTCAAAAAATTCTTTTATTTGTCTATTTTTAAATTCTAAACCTCTATCAGAGAATATTCTATGTGGCTTCATAGGCATTTGATCGATTAATTGTTTAAATGCCTCTAACATATCTTCAGCTTTCTTTGATTTGACAGCTACTCCAAAAACACGTTTAGATAAAACATCAATCCCCAATAGTAAATATTTATTTCCTTTATTATGTCTAGAAAGTGTTTGAAAATCCGCCAAGTCTACTTGAACATCTGTCATAAAACCAGAGGCTACAGTTTTGCTGCGAGGAAAATGAATTCTTTTAGGACGCATAAGAGTATAAGTCCGATGCCCCTCGAGAAAATCTTGTACAACGCTTCTAGGTAAATTTTTAAGAACTTTGCGGGCTTCGTGCCATAATCTGTCAACTCCTGAAAAGGCTGCAGGAGATTCGGGGTCATTATAGAGAGGTTGCAAAAGTTTTGTATAATCTGCCATTTTTCACCATAAAGATGGTTTAAATCTATTTATATCCTGTTGAGAAGGTTTCTTTACAGCCCATTTCTTTCCAATTAATCGCCCTTTTACACCCATATGTCGAGAACTTGAATCTTCTTGGGTCGGCTTCTTCGTTGCCCATTTGTATTTTCCACTCGCACGCCCTTTTATCATATTTAATTTTTCCAACCATGCCTTTGATAAACGCTCTGATTTTTTCTTCGAAACGGGTCCTTTTATTCTTTTATAATATAATAACCTAGTTCCTTCAGGAATTTCATATTTTCGTTTTGAACGCTCACGAGGTATTGAAGGAGACGGAGATTTACCTTCTCTCAATATTTTATGACGACGACGAGATCTTTTAGCGCTATCTAAAAGTTCAGCCTCTTCATCTCGACGCATTTGTTGAATTACACTATGATCAAGAGGGACTTTGACATTTTGGGATGTTTTTCTTCTCCTTAATAGCTCTTTCTTCTTTTGAATCTGTGCAATTTGTTCTCTTAACCTAAGTTCTTTATTTTCATATATATTTTTACTTCTCTTGAATCCTTCAACACTGTTGGAATCTTGGTCTCTTTTTAATGCTACAGGAGGGGAATCACTTAATGGGGCATTTTGTGCATCAATGACAGAATCTGTTCGTTTCTCAATTTCTAAAGTTGAAGGTAAATTTAGCGTTGCCGTTACCATCTTCTTTTGTTTCTTTTTAACAGGAATTTTAGACTTTTTAATTCCTTTAACAGGTTTCATCCTTCTTGAACCATTTCCATTAGTTTTCTCTTTCCTTTTTACAAGCTGGCGAGGTGTTGGAGACACCTCTTCTCTTAGAGCGTCTCTACTTCTAGGTAGTGAAGGTAAAGATGGATGGTAAGAAGATTCAGAGAGAGGAGGCACAACATTATAAGCATTATTGGGAGGTTCTCTAGGATAATTAGAAAATGAGAAATTATCGCTCATCCACAAATCATCGTCATTATCGGCAATATTTGTAGGTGGACCCGCTTGTTCATTACTCATAATAGTTCCCTTGGGGGAAGCGACCATTTCAACTCTAACTGGTCGATTTTCTCTTTCGTTACGTAAATGTAAATAACGCCTTAATTCTTGGTTGTAATGAATGTTTTTAACACTAGGATGTTCCTTCACCCTTCGAGTTTTATCGAGCGTTCTTCGAACATCATCAAGATTTGGTTCACCAGTATCAAAAGTAGTAAGCCCACGATAAATTTCTTGAGGAACGAGGACAAATTTATTAGCCATAATTCTTTAGTAAATACTTTAAAATATAATTCAGTTTAATTTCCGCTTTTTATAGAGCGCGCCAGTTCAATGAGTATTGGGGTAAGGAGAGCAGCAAAAGCTCCAATACCATTTCCTTTCTGCAAAGCAAGTCTTGCTCCTCTTTCACTTCGTGCCCTACTTACTTTTCGGACAAAACAGGCGTAGGGCATTAAACGATTCTTTTGACGGGGTGTCAACATAAATCGAGATTTTACAATGTTAAGACATATTTCAACAAGTGTTAAAAGTTGAGTATTACTAGCAAGTCGTAACAGTCGACGAATTTTTCGTTGTGATTTTGTATGACATAATTTAGTAAGAAAATTTGAATTCTCGTTTATTAAATGACTAACCATTTTAAATTCCACTCTTTGGAGTGAAAATAATTTTTTCGTCCTCCTTAAATATTCCTGTCCTAAGTCTTAAAGTTGGATCAGAGGAGGCATGCATGTCGATCAATAAATATCCATAGGGCTGATTTGTTGCTTGACGGTAGGCGTCCAAGAAATAGTCAAGCCTTCTAGGGAAGAGCTGGACTCCTATATTCCTTACTGCAAGGGCTGAATTAGGTGAACGCATTAGTACAATGTATTGGGCATTTTGACGAGCAACTTTAATTTTTCGATCGAATAAATTTTGTGTGACAAATATAACAGAGAAATTTTGATGGTGTGACTTTTTTGTAAAAAGCTCAGACAAATATTTTTCATCAATAGACAAAAGAAGATCATCCAAAATTAGAAGAAGTGGCTTGGGGAGTGTTTTTATTAATTCTTCGGGTGGGGTTCCGACAAAGACATTAACACCAGATCTTTGAAGTATTGGTACAATACTACTCATTTCGCCAAAACAATAGAGTATGCTCTTTGGCTTGGGTTCAATTAACTCTTCTACCTCTGAAATAAATTTGAGCAAGAACGTACTCTTGCCACTAGAACTAGGGCCTGAGACAATCATACCAAAAGGCAATTTGAGTTTTAAATCTTTATTTGAAAAAGTTAGCGTTTCCATATTAAATGATAGAAAAATTATAAAACTTGGAAATTAATGAACTTAAATACTTGGTGAATTAAAGAGGGGGTTGTAAATTAGTGTCTTCCATCTTAGCTATTACTTCATTCTTAACCTCTACGTCCGAAGATATTCCCATAGTGACAGCTTGCATAGAGTCGAAAAACTCTAAAAGGACTGCATCATCATTTTCTTTAACTAACGACTTCTTTGATTGGAGATAATGTTACGTGAGACTCTTGTGCTTGTATTTCTTTTTGTGGAGATGCAAGTAATGGAGTTAATATTTCCTCTTGTGGTGCAGGAGGAGGGGGTATAGTTGTTAATAATTCCTCCTGTGGAGGCATAGGCGGAGGTGGGGGTGGTGGGAGAGGTAGTTGAGATGTTGTCTCACGCTTGCGAGAACTAGTATCGTCGACTGAGCAAACATTTTGCGAACCATATGGTATATTCAAAATTCGACCCTTGTTTTTTATCTTAAATTTAAATTTTTCCAAAATTATTTTAGGCAAATGACCTTGAAAAAACAATGACCCGGGAGGTCATAAATGCAATCAAACGGTACAAGACGAGGAGCTGCAAGGCGTGTACAATAAATTGTCACTCCCTCTTTCGTAATAATAAAGTCCATTTCGACCTCCGTGCTTTTACATTCTCGGCATCGACCCCCATGTTCAAAAGGAATGAAACGTGGAGTGGTAATTCGGTCACTCGTGATGGTTATCCCATTAGTAGTTATGCTGAATTCGACTTCGGGGAGAATCTGGGTTAATAATGATTTCTTATCATTCATGTTTAAAGCCATTCTATTAAAATTTTCTAAAATTAATTAATTTTGTTTAGATTTTTGAGTTTATATACCCTTCTCTCTCACTCTAATAGATGTCTGTACTCTCTAACCCTACAGTATTTTTCAACTTTATGTGTATCTATTTTGAACAAGACACCAAATTTGAAAAAGCGAAGCCAAGCCATTTTAAAAGCGAAGCCAAGCCATTTTTAAAAAATCGATATTAAGCCACGCCCACTTTTTACTTAAAAAGTCAATAATTTTTATTTCTCAAGGTCATTCTTTATAATTTACAACAATTTGTACTACAATTAAATATTTAATATTAAAAAATGGAACAAAATAACTCAGCCACTGAGAAGATTGGTAACTTTTCATTTTAAAAACCTGATTAAGTTTCTATTTTAAAAGATGGGGATTGTGAGAAAAGCAAAGAAATTTCCGTTTCAAAACCTGTGAAATTGGAAAAAAAGAAGGAATCAAAAAGCTCTTTAGGTTTAATAATAAAATAATTATTACCATGCAAATTTTTTAAGAGTCAACTCTTACTAATCCTCTTGTTGATCTAAATAAAATAAAAATTGTTGAAGAGCACGTTGTTAAACAACAACAACTTTGGAAGCTAATACGCGGAAAATTCTTAATTACATTCTATCTGTGTCAAGGTAATAAAATTTAATATTCTATTCAAAAATTAAATTTTTAGACTGCCAAAACAAATTATTTTATTCAAAAGACAAATTTGAAGAGAATCCTTCTTGTGTTACTGTGAAGATAGGATTATGCAATAACTGTGTCAAAACTAATAGCACTGCTACAGATGTTCTGGCACCGTACAAAAAGATTGGAAGTAAACGAAAAGCAGAATGAAGGGAAAAACTGGCATTAATTTAAGAAAAGTTGAAAATTTTCATTGTAAAATTTAAATGTTGAATTAATAAAATAAAAATTAATAAAAAAATTAATGAGTATTTTGTTTAATAACAACTTTAGGCAAAATGATAAACAGATGCAATTTTTTGCATCTGATAGGGCAAAGAGTTATCTAGAAAATGACCGGTCAGTTTTTTAAGTTAGGTCCTAGAAAAATTTTTACGACCGTTTTACAAAAGACCATATTTTTCCCAAAATCTCAATTTTTCAAGTGAAGAAAAGAAAAGAAAAAGGAAGTTAAACCCAAAAGATCAACACCCCTGAGATCACCCAACCATTTACGTAACTCTGAAATAAAAATTTCTCTCGCCCCCTCCCCCAGACCAATTTGTAAAACAAATTGATTCGCCCTACACTCAACCCCAAACCAATTAGTAAAACAAATTGGTTTCCCCTTGGTCCCTCCCCCGACCAATTAGTCACTAGTTGACACTTAAATTACCCTTTGTACTTTCCCCAAACCAGTTAGTCTGCTAATTGGTTCCCCTCGTCCCTTCCTGTCAGACTCGGCGGCATTTCCCTTTGATCATCAATCAAAGGAGTGGCGGCATCCTTTGATATGGTAGACCCTTCCCGCCCCCTCCCCCAAACCAATTAGTCAATCAATTAATTCCCTTTACACCCAACCCCTAGACCAATTAGTCAAGCAATTAACACCTGTCGGTCATAAAATTTTCATTGCCCCTTCCCCCAGATCAATTAATCAATCAATCAACTAATTGATTTCCTCTTACACCCAACCCCCAAAACCATTTGTAAAACAAATTGGTTTCACCCTTACACCCAACCCCCAAACCAATTAGTCACTAATTAGTTCCCCTTACCCCTCCCCCATCGCGCGCCAAATCCGTCAATAGGTTCGCGATTATACGGGGCAGACCCCTCCCCTTAAAATGATTTATGAGGTACAAATTGGTTCGGACCCCTCCCCCGATTAATAATTTATTACCCTGGCGGTAAGATCAAAGAGGGTCATCAAAAAGATCAAAAGAAAAAGCCGACAAAACCCCCTCATACCCCTTGGTTTTTGTCGGACCCCTCCCCCAGACCCCTCCCCCTACACCCCTCCTATAGGTTGGGGTTATTTCCCCTTGTGCGCAAAGCGTTGTGTTAACTACTAAAAAAATTATTTGTCAACAAGATTGTCTAATAAAAAGTTTTTCAGTTAACAAGTTCAGTAGAACACAAAATTAATTAAGAAAAAATTATTTTAAATAACATAATTAAAGAATTAAATGTTCTGAAAAATCATATTTAAACGGTTTAGTCTCCAAATCATTTCCAAAATTTGCTTCGATAGAACAACATATCAAGTCAACAAATGGTTGATATGATTCAGAATTGTTTTTTAAAAATACAACTTTACCTAAAAAATAATTTTTAAAAATATTTCTTTGGTAATTGTGAACCTTACTGACTCCATTTTTTCCTCCCCAAGTGTTTTCCTATATATTTTCAGAATGGTCAGACTTCTTCCCTTCTACATCCCACTTTTGCTTTCTTTCATCCAAGGGGGAATAGAAAGGCAATTGGAATGGAAAAAAAGTAAAAAGTCTAACCATTCTGTATATAGGAGAAAGTTAGGGGGGAATGGGGTCTGTCCAGGTTCAATATTACTATATCTTTAATTCTCAATTAAATATATTTACCAATTTGTTTTCCATTTTGAGTAAAGAAAATATAAGGAAATTCTCCTTCGGTTAATTTTTTAGTTGGAGGATAAACTAATCCACAACCAAAAATGTCATTATTATCAAAAGAATATGTTGAAAGTTTGCATCTTTCATTATTCTCGTTAAAAATTGTCCCATCCTTTACAACATAACCAACGAATTTTTTTGCATTTTGATTTACAAGACCAAAATGCATTTTATCTACAATTCTGTTTATGTTTCTTTCAAAATTACATTTAACTTCAAAATAATAAAAAGAATAATTTAAGCTGTTTTGGGGTTTATTAAAAGTATTCTCGGCATATGTTATAAAATCATTATCATAACCTGAAAAAATAATTTTTTATAGTTCAAAAATTGGTAAAATTCAAGTTTGTTTGGCTCTATCTTAGGACATGCGTCCCATGAACATTTATGCGTCCCATGAAAGTTTATGCGTCCCATAAACTTTTATGCGTCCCATGAAAGTATATGCGTCCCAAAAATAGTATAAGCGTCCCTTCAAAGTATATGCGTCCCAAAATTAATATAAACGTAAAACAATTGTAAAAACATTTTTTAATTTTAGTAATGACAATTAAATATTTTATTTGTTCTTTGCTGTTTCCTTGCTCAAGGGACAACGAGCATTAAATTAATATTTAACATTCATATGGGTGAACTTCTTTTCCCATCTTGGGGGGCTCTTAAAACTAGCTTATGCCACCGTCACGGAACAAATAAATATATGCTACCTTCTTATCTATTTCAGTATATGTTTAGAAGATACCATGCAAACAGTAAAATCTTTAACATTTGATGGAAGATATTTTTTTCCTATTAAAATAAAAATTTTATTCTTTTTTTTTTAATTTGCTAGTTGTCCCTTGTGCAAGCAAACATATAATAAAATATTTAATTTTCATTAATACATTTAAAAGATGTTATTTTGCGCTTATCTTATTTTGGGACGCATAAACAATTTTTGGGACGTATATACTTTCATGGGACGCATATACTATTTTTGGGACGCATAAACCTTCATGGGACGCATAAAAGTTCATGGGACGCATAAATGTTCATGGGACGCATGTCCTAAGATAGAGCCGTTTGTTTCCCCCTTCTTTTTCCTTGCTTAATTTGTACACAATGGTCAGAATTTCTTCCTCAATTCTACTCTAGTGATTTTAAATATAAATGACCAGAATAAGCGAAAATATTGTCAAGTATTAATTCACTCTTTGACATTGGAAGGAATTAATCCTTCCCTTATTAATGTCTCTGATTTATGCCACAGGGAAATAGCGTGAAATTTAGGAAGAAAGTCTGACCGTTTTATACAAATTAAGGAGTGAAAAGACGAGAAAGAACTTGAATTTTACCCAAAAATATACATTTTTACCAACCTAACCCTTTCAAACTAATAATATATTTAATGTTCTCATCATTAATTAAATTTCCAAATCCATGTCTTTCAATACAATTACCAATAGGTTTGTTTGTATTTATACAATTATTGTTACAACATTTGTATCTACCGTTAATTACACTCCATTTATTTTTAATCTTAACAAATTCCATACAATTTAATAAACTAACCACAGAATTTAAATTATTCAATTTAATTAAATCTCCAATTTTTTCATTTGCCTTAATTAAATAAATTAAATTATAATTAATTTTTAATTTAAAATTTAAATAAATCCTGCCCAAATTTTTACTAATCCGTGTCCAAAATTTTTAAGATTTAAAAAAGTTAATAAATCAAATGGAAAAATGTTGCCAGACTATAATAAGATAAATTTTCATATCTGTCCCCACCAGCAAAAATATTTATCTCCTCCGCGGATTCATCTTAGGTCGTTTATTTATCCCCTCAATTGTTTCGATATACTTTGGAAGTCGCCCCCCTCTCCCGCCCCCCTTTTCCCTGACCATTATGAGCTTTTTTTGCTTGATATATAATTTATTATAGTATATTATTCGAAAGTACTCCTCGAACTTGGTCGAATGATACCCCGATCGGTTAGATTTGATCATCTTAAACTTTTACACAAATAAAAATTGTTTTATTTTTTTAAAAATTTAACAAAAAATTTCTTAAAAGCTAATAGCTTTAGATCACAAAATTTAAGCACCCACACTTTAAAACCCATGAAAATTCATAACTTTTCAATGGATGTTTAAAATTTAATTATAATTACCTTCTTAATTTCTTCTTCTAAATAATTAATTTTCTCATCTTTTTGCTTTAAATAAGCATTATTTTCCTCTTTTAATTGTTTATTATTTTCTTCAATTAATTTTTGAAAATTCTGTTTAATTTCTTCAATTTCATTTTTATGGTCAGAATTTATTTTTTGAATTTTCTAAAATTATTTTTTAGAAATATTTCTAAAAACATCCAAACTTTATTCATTTCCTTCAATTCATTTTCTAATTTAGCAGACTTTTCCTTCCCTTCAACCATTTCTTTTTGAACATTTTCAAAATTAGTTTCAAGTTTTTTAAAATCATTTTTGTCTTTTTCAACCAAAATCCAATTAGATTCTTCGGCCATTTTGTTGTTTTAATTAAAATATTTAAAAAGAAATTTAAAGTTATTAGTAGGGACAGCCAAAATATGCACTCACCAAATATGCACCAATATATCCACCGAAAAAGTCCAAAACATGGACCAAAATATGCAAAATTTGCCCGATATGCAAATATGCACGAGAGGGCCGAAATATGCAAAAATATGCATTAAGAACCGAGTCTTAAAGTGCTCGGACCTATGTGAAAACACTATTTTTGCTTCCCACTTCAAGGCATATCCCTCATACAAAACATGCATTTGCATATTTTGGCTGTCCCTGATCATTGAAATAAATAATTTAAATTTAAAAGAATAAAATACGATTATTTTAATTTTGTTGGAAAAAATTAAAATCAAATTTAATTAGATTTACAAATCTAAAGAAATCAATCTTCCTGTAAAACATGTAACTCAAAAATTTATGGAGAAAGTTTAAATAATTTAAAAAATATACATATGTATTTGAATATGTATAATGAAGAATATTTTAACTTCATTCTACAAAAAACCTCTTATTTTTTACCAGACTTGCTGGTTGTGTTGGGGTTTTATGACCTACAACATTTTTTTCTTTCATTCCGTTTGGCTTGCTTTATTTATTCAATATTTCGAGTTGAGTGAGGGTTTTATATGACTATCAAAGTAAGGGGTTGTAACGAAAAATGACCCTCTGCGTGCACTTTTCTTTTTCTTAAATTCTTCCATTTCTTAATAATGAGGTTGGTTGACTGGATAGTGTGTTTTATTCATAATTTTGGTCAATGATCAAAGTGATGGAAGATGATGAGCAAAGTGTAATCCTTCGCTTAAGACCTTCCTAAATTCTCAAAATTTTTGCCTACGGCATAAAAGTAGGCTTTGTAATTCCGTTGGTACTCACTCATAGTTTCTCTAATGAAAAGCTATGAGTGATAATTATATGATATTTGATCAAATATTTGGTTGGTTCGATCTCTAATATGTAGTATATAAATATTAAGCAATTAATAAATTCAAAAAAATATTTAAAACTTAAAATTGATTATTTTAATTGATATCGAAATAATGTAAATTAAAAAGAGTAAATTTAAAATAAAAAAAACAAATTTTCAATAAAATTCTTTAATAATTAAATGTGTTGAAATATCATATTTAAACTGGTTAGTCTCCAAATCATTTCCAAAATTAGTTTCAATTGAACAACATTTTAGATCAACATATGGTTTGTATGTGTCGAAATTGTGAATTAATAATATGCCTTTACCTTAAAATAATTTTTTAAAAATATTTTTCTGTAAAATATATTTCCTAGAGCCCGGAATTTTGTTCCGTACCGTATTTTAACCCGTAATACTGTATAATATCTAATAAATACCGATAAAATTCAAAATTCAGAAAACGGTATTGAATACCGATAAATACAAAAATACGACCGCAGTATGGTACGGTCCGGGCTCTAATAAATATTTACCAATTTGTTTTCCATTTTGGGTAAAGAAAACATAAGGAAATTCTTCACCAATTTTATTAGTTGGAGGATAAACTAATCCACAACCAAAAATATCATTATTATTCCAAGAAAGAGTTGAAAGTTTAAATAATTCGAATCTCTCAGTTAAAATTGTAGCTCCCTTTGGAGAATATCTAATAAAACTTTTTGAACTCAAATTTTCTAGCCCAATACTCATCCCATTTTCGCTATAATCCAACTCATTTTCAAATATACATTTAATTTCAAAATAATATAAAGAATAATTAAAGCATATTTGTGGTTTGTTGTAGGGATTTTCTGCATCAACAAAAACAGAGTTATTCATACCTAAAAATATTTACATAAAAATAAAAATTCAAAAATTTCGGTACTTTTCCGTTCTGCCACCTCTCCTACATTAATGCTCAAAATGTGATAATATGGCAATAATATGTGCTAAATCGAACGGTACCATTCTTTTTTCCGGAGATGCCTGTGGACCGAGATATAGGTCCTCAAAAATCGTAAAACTGTAGGGGGAGTAAACACATTTTTGGGGTGAAAATTCAATAATGCAAATAAAAGCTCAATCGAAAGAGCTCATCGAGCTTATCACTAAAATTATCATGATTGAACAAGTGATGACAAAGTTACGATACAAAAATGAACACCCATCGAGGTTCACTTGGTTCATATTTTATTGTAGAAGATGTGGCAGAAAGGATTAATTTAATTTTTACCAATTAATTTACCTCCATTCTTCCCCAAATATTTAATATTTTCTTCATTAATTAAATTTCCAAATCCGTTTCCTTTAATACAATTTCCAATAGGTCTATCCGTGTTTATACAATTATTTAAGCAACAAATGTTGACAATTTTACTCCATTTATTTTTAATTGGAACAAAATCCTTTAAAGATTATTTTATAATTTTTAATCGAAATTCTAAACTAACCGCATACATACAATTCAAATTATTTAATTTAATCAAATCACCAATCTTTTTCTCAAATAAATCATTTGCCTAATTTTATATAAATTAATTTAATTAGAAAATTTATTTTATTTAAAATTTAACAAAAAATATTTGGACCTCACATGTAAATAAACCCACAAAACTGAAATGTATTTACTAGAGACTGGGACCCGTTCGGTCGTCAGGATTTTTTCAGAGTCCGGATCCCAAATCCGGCGTGCTTGTGATCTCCGGATTTTTCTGGACCAACTTAATCCATTTTGCTGAATAAATTTGATTTGATTTGAAAAGAAAATACGTCCGGATCCGGTCCGGCTTAATTACAAATCCGGAATCCGGGTCCGGCGCTTTTTTACGTCGGATTTGGAATTATATCTGATTCTGGGATTTTCCCATACCCCTCCAAATCTATTAATATCTCCCTTCTAAATTAGGGTTGAGCGGGATCGGGATCCCGGTCGGGATCGGGATCACCATTCCTAAATCCCGATCCCGGGTTTTTCTCTAAATCCCGATACCGCTTAACTCTATTCTAAATGATTTAATTATAAATAATTTCGTTGCTTCTTGAAATTATTATGAAATTTTAACGTAAAGATTAATAAAAAATTTTCGAAAAATATGGAAAAATCCCGGGTTCGGTCCGGATATATGTATACCTATTTTATATTTAAATTTTCTTTATTTTTAATTAAAAACTAATTATTTACTTTTTTAATTTGTTCTTCCAAAGAATTAATTTTTTCATCTTTTTGCTTTAAATTGACATTATTTTCTTCAACTAATTGTTGAATATTTTGTTTTAAAATATTAATTTCATTTTCATTTTCAGAATTTACTTTTTGTATTTTCTAAAATTAATATTTAAAAAATATCACTTAGAAAATGAAAAAACTTGCATTATCAATTTTTAAATTATTATTTTCCAAAGTTAAATTTGTATTTTTCAATTGCAACTAAAACAAAAAAATTTTTTTTTAATTCAATCGTCTTTCACTTGTACGACACCTTCGTTCAGAAAAAACTGGATGTTAAAGTGAAAGTGTAGTAGAAGTGCGGGAACGATCTAACTATCGTATTGCACCTCGGGAAGAGACTATCTGTAGGAAGACCGGACTAGAAGGGTCATACGAGAATCGATATCTCAAAAAATAACGATAACCGAGATTGTTAATAAATAGACCCCTTATCTTTTTCTTGATCCCTTTACGGCATCTGTTGTTTATTTATAGCAAATTATATACCAGTAGGATGGCGCTAAAATAAACGAAATCTGATTTAAATGAACAGTTGTGATAATTCTTTCCCAACGAAGATTTAGGTGCTTAATTTTCTTCAGAATCATCAAATCTAACCCAATTGATATTATTCGACCCAGCTCGGAAAGCTCTTTCGACTGTTATGTGGTAAATAATGAATCTAGCAGAAGATCTCAAAATGGTCGTAAAATGGGAGATATTTTTTAAACGAGATCTCGTCTCGGTCCTATCTCTAATCTGCAGGCATACAAGTTATACCCTCCTTAAGTAACTTAACAAAAATAAATTTCTTTAACTTCTAATTTCTCTACACGTTGTTTTAAACTTTTAATGATATTTTTTGATAAACAACAAGAACGACAAGTAATGGGTAATTCACCAACACTAGATGTCTCCGAATCACTACTTTTTCCTGTAAAATTTTCCAAGTCTTCTCTAAGTGATTCATTATTATCAGAATTATTTGTAGAAAATCTCCATTCTTATAATTGTTTCTGTGTTCTCATATTTTTTAAGTTAGTTTTCTGAAAATTAAAACTTTAAGGACAATATAGCGATTTTTTCATTTTGTCAGAAACTTGGACAAAAAATGCAAAAATGATTGATTTTTAGGAAAACTTTTGATTCTAGGACATAAAAATACGGGGAATAATGATTACGGGAGTAGAAGAAATGAATCTGTTGGCCCAAAAAATCTACAATCTTTTGAAAGGGAATACAGTAGTCGACATAAAGATAGGGACAAGAGTGATTTAAATGCAAATTAACTATTTTTCAGTCAAAAAATACGATCTATATATCAATCGAAAGCTCTATTCGTATCTCAGTTGACATGTTTCTGCATTTTTCATGAAAATGAAAATTGGCCGAGATAATCCGGATCTACCGGATATACCAAATCCCACAGCCTCGGAAAAAATTTTCGGAAAAAATCTAACAAACCCATTTGATAAAGCATATTTTTGTGATTATTTATCACAAAACCGCTTTGAAATATCTTTTTCCGGACCAGAGATATGATTTTTTGAAAATCGCATTTTTCGTCTATTTTTGCAAAAAATTCAATTTTTAAGGCAAAAATGCGATTTACAAAAATTCATATCTCCGTTCCGGAAAAAGATATTTCTAAGCGGTTTTGTGTAAAATACTCACAAAAATATGCTTTATCAAATGGGTTTGTCAAATTTTTTCAGAAAAATTTTTCCGCGGATATAGAATTTGGGATATCCGGCTTAATCCGGATATCTCGGCCAATTTTCAATTTCATGAAAAATGCAGAAAAATGTCAACTGAGATACGAATAGAGCTTTCGATTGATATATAGATCGTATTTTTTGACTGAAAAATAGTTAAATTACATTTAAATTACTCTTGTCCCTATCTTTATGTCGACGACTGTATGTATCGAAAATTACATTTGCACTAAAATAATTTTAGGAGCAAAGAAATAAGAGAAACTAAATTAAAATTTTATGGAGAATTTAAAAATTAAAAGAATTAAAAAATGTTTAAAATTAATATTCTATTTATATGTATATTGAAGGTTTTTGCCTTCGACAAGTTTTTTTATGAATATACGTTGAGAAAAAAAATGAAAAAAAAAATTAATTTATTTGTTGAGGGAATATTTTAAATAAATTTAAAGGGAAATTAAAAAAGTTGTTTAGAAAGGATAATATTGTATTTAAAATAAGAAACAAAAATGAATTGCCCGAAAAATTAAATAACAACACCATTTCTTACTTTTTATTTCTTTAAAGTTTAGTCGTGGGGATCTGGAGGGATTAAAGAGGATAATGAGGGATTGATTAAGGGGGATATCGTAGATTTCGAGTGATATCAATCTCCTCGATATGTCTCCAACCTACTGATATACATACCTGATATACCTACAAAATTTTGTGAATTTTTTTAATGTTAGAAACTCGAAAAATAAATTTTGCCATAAGAGGGAATTTGCTCATAACTCCAGAGAAAATATATTTAAAAATTATTTTTTACAACCGGGAATGCCAAGTTAAGGAACGACAACTAAATTCTGAACTAAAATATTACACTACTAAGATTGACTTTTTTGAAAAAAATGTAAGAAATCTGGCTTATTGTCCTTTTAAAATTCTCAAAATTTTCGCCCGAACCACGAAAAATAAACGAAATCTGTTAAAACAAATTATTTTTGTTTACTCGAATTATTTTTGGGTACCGTTTCTATTTGGCTTAAAAATGGGCTCCGATATGTGCGGATTTATCTCATTTCGTAGTTTTCTGAAAGTCGATGGGGATTATTTCTAAGAATGCAGATTGGCGGGTTTTTGTGGTCTTTTGAAGATTATGAGGATTTTTTATATTTTCTTGCAGTTTTTGCTACTTTTTGGAAGAAAAAATTAAAAAAAAGTTTATTTTATAACACAGAAATATGTATTCAAACAAATAAAAGCAGGGCAATATATTTAAACAAATTTATCAATTAATTCTCTTAATTACAACATCAGTGCCTCTAAAACGGTCTTCTTCATTCGAAATAAAAAACTTAAATTTTGGATTGTATTTATTGGAAAGTTGATATTTTTTAGATTCAAAATTGTTTACAACTTTAACTTCAATATTTTCTGCTCTTTCACTTAAAATAATATCTCCGGGAACTTGGCATAATTTAATTTTCTTCACCATTTTAGAAATGTTTTTTGATGTTTCTAGATGCTAAAAACAAAATATAATTTATTTTTAAAATCTACTTTGACTTTTTTAAATTTAAAATTCTATTTAAAATATTCTTCAAAAATATATAATTGTTTGGAAGTACCCCCCGTATTTTCCCCGTTTCCTTGACCATTTTAAGCTTTTTTGTTTGGTATATATTTATTATATATCATTTTAAAGAGCTCTTCGAGCTTGGTCAAATGACACCATGATTGGCTAGATTTGATCATTCTTACCAAAATTATGGAGCTAAATCCTTTTTGGATAAACTCTTTGTGCCAATGCAAGGGAACAAAATAAACGGTCACAAATTGTTCATCCAAGTCAGATTTCGTTGATTTTAATGTCATTCGACTTAGCTCGAAGAGCTCTTTCGAGTGATACATATATAACTTGCCATAAAATGAGAAAAAACTAGGAAAAAATGGAAAGGAAAAAACGGGAGGGGGGGGGGGGGGGGGGGGAAATTCCAAACTACTACCACATTTACCTCCATAACAGTATTGTAAATAAATAATGGCACATTTTTACAGCAAACTGTAGAAAATTCGTTTCTTCCATTTGACAAAATTTCAAGTAAAATGTTTACATTCTCCTCTATTTTTGTTTCAAAACGGTAATCAAAGACAAGTTTATTTGAAATCAGATGATTCAAAGCAAATGTTAAAATATCAAGTGGCTCGCGTGAACTAACAGACAATGAATAACTGACCTCTTGAGAATGAATAATTAACGGCATATTTGACATTTCCCCTTGAAACAAAAGTTGAAGCATTTTTGGATTAAATATACAGTAATTAAAACAAGCAGTTCCAATCACAAATTTAAAAAGTTGTTGAAAAATATAACGAGCAATTTTCATTTCCTCAATTGTTTTTGGATATTTTGACAATTTGAAATTCAATCCTAAATAAAATTTTGATTAAAAGAACAATTGTAACTAATCAGGGCTAGGCTAATTTCACATTTTTTAGCGCGAAGTTTCGGCTTTTGCAGTTTATTTTTAGATTTCGCCCAGCCCTTGTACTAATACCATCAGAACTATCCATATAATTACGGTCCCGCAATGCAAACCCGCTAATATTACCGTTTCTGCCATTATTATAAAAAAACATAGGAATTGATTTTTCTATTGCACTTTTCCACTAAAATGAGTTTATTTTAAAATAAAAATTATTTTTAAACCTTTTCCTCGAGATGTTCACTCAATTCAAATTCATAAAGTTTAGGATCTGGCTTAACAAATTCAGAAAGACTGCCCTCGAAGAGTACAAACTAAAATAAATTCAAATTTGAAAAATTATTATGTGTAAAAATTACAAATGTAAGACAAGCAAATTTCTTTCGAGCCAATTTTCCCTTATATTCAATAATAAAATTTTTGAAGTAAATATTTGTTTGTTGTACTGATAATAATTGAGTGAAATTAAGACATTTACAAATATCAAGTTGAACTTCAGGTGGAAGAAAATACATTTTTATATAAACTTTTTTAGTCTGAAAAAGAAAATAAAATTATAACTTCATAAAGTGTTCAAGAATAAAAGAATAGACACTTCTCCGTTAATCGACCGCGAGCTGAGTAACTGCCGAATTTGGACAGCTATAAATTTTTATGAGTGATAAACCTGCTCCATACATTTGGGAAAACGATAGAGCTTATTGAGGGCTTTCGAATGATATAAAATTCATTTGTATTCGATCAAGCATCAAAAATTTATAGCTGTTCAAATTCGACTGTTACTCAGTTTGCGGTCGCTTAACGGAAAAGTTCCACAGAATAATACGAAGACTAATTAACAGTTATCCCAAAACTAAATATGGGTAATTATGACGAAACAAAAATGAAGAGGACAGAACAAGCATTGGTAAAGACTAACTTAGACAGCTGCTTTTATACTAATTATAAATACCCATAATTCTCCAATTGTGTTTATGTGACGAGTAATTTTTTGAGTTTCCCGGTTTTTGCAGATTCCAGGCTTTCTTCAGTCTTAGGTGAAGTCTTGGTCTAGATTTTTTCTGGTTTTTTTTTGCGAACCGAAAAATTAATGTGAGGAGTCTTACGACTCACGACCACACAGCAGACTAATAGAGTGGACATCTGAGAGAAAATGTCATTTACTGGGCAGAACGCCAACGAATTAAAAAAGAGCTAAATTTATCTCTTTTTCTCTAATTGTCTCATATTTCCAATAATCTTCTTAATTGTCCTTCAAAAATCGTAGATCTTTTGAAAAAATCCATTTACGGGATCCCGTGAATTTTTTATTAATTTGCGGGATTTTCAGTTATCCCCGTAAATTGCCCTCAGCACTAAACAAGGGAGAAATCTTGCTCCTTGTTCTAACGAAATTCTTAAAGCGCAAAAAAGGATGAATTTTGGCTTATTTCCTCCTAAAATTCTCAAAATTTTTGCCTGCGGCGCTAACAACAATCATCTCTTGCGGACGGCTCTCATCCCTCGTAATTAATGGGATATCAATTTTTCAAAAGACCGAACTTTCCAAGAAATATTGAAGTAATCTCATCCAAGTTGCTACCCGATTTTTAAAATCTAAATGTATCTGTTTTTGGCCATATGTATTTTTAATTAAGAAGCCATGTTTTTGGTATTGGCTTAGTATAAAAGTCATTTTACTATATAGTGGAGGTCTCAATGTTAGTGTAGTATTATTCTATTACTATTCTGTTATTCTATTTTGTTTCCAAAAATATTTGGCGCCCATTGCTATTCTATTATGTAAATTGTATCAAAGCACAGTTTGTTAGTTACTGTCTTATCTTGTTTATTGTACTAAGACATTGAAGCTTAGTGTTGGTTATGTGCTTAGTATAAAAGGCTGAGGCTTTAGCCAGTCTGGGAGTACCGAGTTAGTCTATTGTTAGTCTTAGTCAGTCGTTAGTCTTTTCTGTTAGTCGTCAGTCTTGGTATTCACTCCAGCGCTTAGTCCCGCTATTCTATTATAACCTTGTGATAAACCTTGTTAGTTAGTTAGTCTTTCTGTTAATATCGGACACACCGCAAATCGATACATAACACTTTGTAACTAACAAACTGTACAGATTTTTAAATACTTTTTTAAATTTAATTTTTAAACTTAAATTTTAATTTTTTATTTTCAAGAAAATGATTTATTCTTTACCAACAGAAACAAAACTTCATATTTTTAAATTCCTCAATTACGGACAATTATATTCAATTAAACAAACAAATTTATATTTTCGTGATTTTATTACTCATTTTGAGGGAGAACTTGCTCGAGATGAATTATTTACAATAGATTTTGTAAAGTTTTTTTTAATTTCTAAAACTTTTCTGTTAAGAAAGATATCGACCGATGCAAAGAAGGCAAATTAATTAGACCCGAAGCTGGAAATTTTAACTTTGCCTTATTTGATGAGCAACATAAAGAAATAAATGAACAGATTGAAGAAAAGGTAAATTGAAAATATCTAAAGATTTTCTTTCGTTTTTAGTGGGATAATGAACTGGAAAACCCAATTCCTCTGTATGTACCTGTTCATGATTCAGACAACACTGTTATTTACTTATATAAAGAAGGCAAATTAGGAGGTTATTTCTATAACTTTAAAAATTTAAAGGACCCATAGCAAAGAACAAAATAAAGAAGAGCTTTTCGTCTTATCTGGTGTCCAGTTACATCCTCATTAGGGGAGCAGGCCAGTGTACCGCCGAGCTATAACTTTATAAAATTGTCGAATCCGTGGCGCCCTGTTATGCTTCGGTTCAGCTTGTCGAGCCGCATCAAACCAGGGCGCCACTGGTTCGACAATTTTGAAAAAAGTTACAGCTCGCGGTACGTCGGGGTGTACCCCCTCATTAGCATTAGTTCCAAAACTGAATATATAATCCAAAAATAATTAAGGCCTATATATGATAATATAATGTAAAGGCATAGTACGACAATTACGGATATAAAATTTGAAAATTTTTTTTAAAGTTTTCAGTGCCATATCAGTCTAAAAATATTTTGAAACCGTCAGAAGCTCGAAACTGACAGCCGGGAGTAAAAAACGGGATATCATTTCAATCATTTAAAAATTTCTAATCTGCAATTGTCGTCCGCAATCGTCGCATCCGCGCGTGCGTATCCGGAATTGTAACACCGGATAAACGATAGAAAAAAGTGGTTGCAGTGCTGGGTATGGCTCCGGGAAATAGCTCAGGAGCCAGCTCCGGCGGAGCTAGACTCTTTATCTACCAAAAACTCCCACCCCCCTCCCCAATGAAAAATAATTCATTAATTTTCCACCCGGAGCCAACATGGAGCGGCTTCGAAAATTGCCGGCTCCGGAGCTGGAGCCGGAGTCAACAAATGGCAAATACCCAGCACTGGTGGATGCATTACCCATTCCTTTTTTATGTTGACTGTTAAAAAGGACTAGAAAATCTCAATATTTTCGTCTAAATTAAAATTTTGGCTGTAGTGTAGTGTACCGGTGGTAAAAGTTCGGGATGTGACATATGTCATTCGATTCGTCTCGGCGAGCTGAGTCGAACGGTACCACTCCCTACTTTAGGAAATGATTCTGGACCGAGTTATAGGTCCCGAAAAATTGAAAAACCAAAGGGGGGAGTATGCTGATTTTGGGGTGAAAAATTCGAATATGCAAATAATAGCTCATTCGAAAGAGCTCGTCGAACTGAGTCGAATGACACCAAAATCAACGAAATCTGACTTGATTTGACAAAGTTATGTTCGTTTGCTTTAGCTCCTTACCTATGGCGCCCGTGGAGGTTTTTGATGCTACGTAGGCCCCAGCTACGTCTATAGCAAGGGAAATATGAATAGGTTTATGTTACGAACCCAGACCCAGCGCCCGTAGACTCCCCGCGAGGCGCGTGCCGCAAAACTCCGCGCGAAGCGCGGAGTTTTGCACAAGCGCCTCGCCGACGCCCCATAGGTTTACGTTGTTTGTTTTTGTGTCGTAACTTTGACTAATTTTGTTCAATCGCTGTGATTTTGGTGTCATTCGATTCAGCTCGACGAGCTCTCTCGAATGAGCTATTACATGCTTTTTTGAATTTTTGACCCTAAAATCCCACTTATGGTTTTTGACCATTTCGAGCCCTCTATCTCGACTCAAACTTTTTCAATCAAGCTGATTTTGGTGTCATTCGACTCAGCTCGACGAGCTCTTTCGAATGAGCTATTATTTGCATATTCGAATTTTTCACCCCAAAAACCTATGGGTTTTCAATTTTTCGGGTCCTATAACTCGGTCCAGAATCATTTCCTAAAGTAGGGAGTGTTACCGTTCGACTCAGCTCGACGAGACGAATCGAATGACATATGTCACGTCCCAAACTTTTACCACCGGTACACTACACTATATCCAAAATTTTTATAGATATTAAACTACAACTGCCAACTATTATTAAAAACAAAAACCAAATGAAAATTGTTCATTATTATTTGGATAGATTATTTAATTGTTCTTTTGTACAGGGAATCTTCGATAAATTCATCTTCAATCCAGATTTGATTGAATTATTATTTGGAAATGCTAAAATTCTCAAGAAATTTTATGTTAAGTCATCGTCTCTAAAGCCTTTTGCTTACAATAGCAGAGATCTATTAAAATTTGCTGTGAATCATTTAATCTGCTATGAGCTTTATATCGATTTTTCTCATGTAAAAAACAATGAAGATTCTGTGGATATCTCAAGCAAAATTTTAATGAATGGAGACAAATTTAAATTAGTCATTTTAGTATGTATTGACCGTCCAGAACTTTTTGATTTTGTTATAAATGTAAGTTTTTATGTACGTGCACTAGAATATAATGACTAGGGCTCGGATTTATATTGTTAAAAATTCCTAAATAGATTGGGCGACTATTTAGGAAGAAAAATATATATTTCAATATAAATCCGTGCTCTAATAATGACACTAATAAGCGATACCTTAGAAAACAAAACTACATTAGAAGAATCTCGCGGTCCTTTAAGAATTCTCAATCAAATTCTTCAATTATAGGAAAGTCTCAATTTTTCGTTTCGATAATATTCTATTAAATTTTAGACGTCTCTTGATTTAACTCCAATTTTCTAGCTATAAGGTTATTTGAGACTAAGATCAGGCTTTAATTCAGAACCTAAATTAAAGGGTGCCGGAATTTTGGTCACCGGAATTCTGGTCACCGGAATTCTGGAACTTTGGTCACCAATTTTTTTGGAATTTTGGTCACCAGCGGAATTTTGGTCACCAAGTCAAAAAACGGAATATTGGACACTGAAATTTTGGTCACCAAGAGGAATTTTGGTCACCAAACGGAAAAAAAGAATCTTATCTTAAACTGATATCAAAGTGATAAAAATATTGTTTTTCAACTCACAGTTGATCAATTTCTATGTTGATCACTCTGCCAGTTAATTAATCATCCGGTAGAGTGATCGAGAGTGATCAACGGGCGAGTGATCAGCCAGCAAAGTGATAAACATTGAAACTGATCAACTGGAGGTTGAAAAATCATTTTTTATCACTTTGATATCAGTTTCAGATAAGATTCTTTTTTCCGTTTGGTGACCAAAATTCCTCTTGGTGACCAAAATTTTAGTGTCCAATATTCCGTTTTTTGACTTGGTGACCAAAATTCCGCTGGTGACCAAAATTCCAAAAAAATTGGTGACCAAAGTTCCGAAAAAGCGTGGTGACCAGAATTCCGGTGACCAAAATTCCGTACACCAAATTAAATATAATTTTTTAGTTCACAATATCTTTATTGATTTTTTCTATTTTAGTTTATTAAAACATCAAAAGATTGTTCAAAAATGGTGGCTAAAATTAACTTAGTTACAATTGATCTTGATATCAATCTTGCTGTTTTAAATGAAAAAGCTGAAAAGGTTGGAAAGGAACCTGAATATGGGTATCGTCCACATAATTTTGCGCCAGAATACCAACTTTTCAACATTTATAATCCAAAAATTAAATTCTCTATTTTATATGATGGTTGTGTCGGTGGAATAGTTTGGACAAAAATTAGACGAATTTTTTGTTAATCTTCGATAATATTATTTATTGTTAGTATATATGTCGGCGGAAAAATTCAGATTTAGGAAAAATTTAATTTTTCCGGAAAATTTCAATTTTTCCGGAAAAATTCAATTTTTCCGAGCATTTAGGAAAATTTCAGATAGTAATAAAGTTGTCAGTTGAGTCTGGGCTAGTTTTTTTGTTTTTTCGGTGTTGTTTGTGTTTTTTATGTTTGTTTTTGATTTTTCTGGGCTATCTTTAAATTTCCTGATTTAGTCAAGATAACCATGTAAAATAAGTTTGGATTTTATAAAAAAACAACATAAACCTATGGGGAGTCGGCGAGACGCTTGTGCGAAACATTTCTTGTGCGAAAAAAACAAACATTTCTTGTGCGAAAAAAACAAACATTTCGCGGCACGCGTCTCGCGGGAGTCAAGGTCGCTGGGTTCTGCACTAGTAACATAATCCTATTCCTTTTACCGATTTTCAGCATTGAAATGCCGACCTACCCATTCAGTTGTAGCACAAAAATTAAAAAACACGAACTAAAAACCAAAATAAAAAATAAAAACAAGGGAAAATCTTAAAAACAAAAAAAAACAAACATAAAACAAAAGAAAAACAAACAAGAAAAAACATACTCAAAAAACGAAAAACAAGCGAAATAGTGTAAGACAGACTATTAAATTAATTTAATATCTGAAATTTTCCTAAATGCTCGGAAAAATTGAATTTTTCCGGAAAAATTGAAATTTTCCGGAAAAATTGAATTTTTCCTAAATCTGAATTTTACCGCCGACATATACATATATATTTTAACTTTCGGCTATGAACTGGATCTGCCCAGATTTTTTTGTTATTCAAATTATTTCTAGAACGGTTTTTTTAAATCCAAAAAACGGTTTTCTGGGCAAATCCAAAAATTCCATTTTCTAAGCTGTGCCTTTTACGTATTTATTTGATTTTAGAAATTAGTTTTAGTAAAATTCCTGTTTTTGATAAACATAAAATAATTTTTTGTTATTTATATTTCCAATTAGGGAAAGTCAGGCCGTTACGAGTCTTTTTCGGGCTTTTCGGTCTAAGTCGGTCCATTTTGGCAACCCTATTTCCAATATCTGAAAATTTTTATCGCAATGTTTTAATATTTATACAATCATTGACATAAAAATAGGGACAAGTTAATTAAAATAAAACTTACACATTTCTCAGTTAAAATCGAAACGAAAATTTTATTCATTTCCTTCAATTCATCTTCAAAATTAACACTCTTCCTTCTTTTCAATAAAATTATGTTGAGTGTCGTCAAAATTATTTTAAAATCTAATTAAATCATTTTTCTCTTTTTCAACCAAAATCCAATCAAAATTTAATGATCCTTCTCTTTCAGTCATTTGTCTTTGGATTTATAATTAAAATATTTTAAATTACCCAAAAGGTCAACTCCAAATGTTTGGGTGGATTAAGAAAAATTTTCGATTATCAAATGTCATATCTATGGATTTGGACTGATTAAGATGGATTTACTGGGATTAAGTGACATAAGAAGGAAATTCTCTGGTGTAACTGCAAGATAAGACAAAAGTGACCAGGCCAACGATTTTTGATCTTGAGAACTCTTTATGTTCAGCAGTTGGCCTTTAGGGTCATTTGATCAATAGGGAGTTGACCTAGGTAGAACTTTTACGTGTTGACCTTTATTGTTGATACATCATACATACATCCCTAATATCAGGGGATTTGCAGGATTAAGGAGGATACTTTAAGACAACACACTTTGTGTTTATTGGCTATTCCGCTGTGTACATTTTTCCTATCATGGCTTTTGAAGTTGAGCAAGAAAAGCTACACATATGTCCACTATTTTGTCGGCGACGGTCTGTTGAGGTGAACGAGGAGAAATGTTTTTATTGACCTTTAAAATAAACTAGCAATCTTTCCCACAATTTTTCTCATTTCCCCATAACTGTAGGAGTAATAAAGCCATTTTGCTTTATTCCTTTCTTTAAAAATGTTCAGTAATTGTTCATATTGAAAGTTAAGCTCCATGAGAGATGGGCGTTGTAATTCTGATATAAATAGTTGCAAGAAAAGCAAAAACATTTTAAACATAACAGAATTTCTTATTAATCGAACAGTGTTCGAATCGAATATTGGCGAACAGGGGGTTGGCGAATTGGTGTTGTCGCAAATATCGACAAGCTCAACAAAAATCAGACTCGAATGAACTTTTATTTTTGTTTTTGTGTTTGTTTTAATTAAATTCTGAATTGTTTGGAATAAATTCTGATTTTCATCCCAATTTGTTTTAATTAAATTCTGGTTTTGTTTGGAATGAGTTCTGGTTTTGTTGGAAATAAATTCTGATTTTCTTCCCAAATAGTTTCTAATAAATTCTGATTATGTTTTAATTTAATTCTGGTGTCTTTCCAACTTGTTTAAAATTAATTCTGATTTTGTTTAAAACTTGTTTTAAAGTTTTCTAGCTTATTGTTTTAATTTAATTCTGATTTTTAATTTATTTTCTAATAATGTCTGAAGAATCAATTGTTGACAGTACAGAAAATGAAGTTATGGCTGAAGAAGTTTCTGAAGAAAATCAAGAGCCTAGTAAATATTTAAAAAAATTTTAAATTTAATTTTCATATTAATTAGAGTTGTATAATCATGTATTGACGGAAGAGCAGAAACAACGTATAATAAAATGCGTTACTTGGGACGATAAAGTTGTTGAGGTAAAAATTGAAGGCAAAAAATTTTTTGTGTTTAAAAAAATTAAAAATAATTTTTTTTTCGGTCCGAAACCAGTGAAAAATATTTTTAAGAAAATTTTTCTGAATTAAAAAAATTTTTTTTTATTAAATAAAAATTGGCTTCCTTTAAATGGATTTCCTTAAAAAAATTTTTTTTTCTTTTTTTAAGGTTGAGTGGTATTTGATGATGCAATGCGGGGCTTTTGTTTTGCTTTGGTTTATTTATTTTTTAATTGAAAACACTTCAATTTTAAATTTTCTAGGGAAAGTTTGAATCTTGAAGATGCTGCCAATCCAGAAGCTTTGGATAATTTTAATTTCCCGCTCAATGAAATTACTGAAGAATGTTTTGTTAAAGTTGTGGAATGGTTGAGGAATCACCAAGGTTTTTAATTTGGAAAAATATTTTTAAGTTTGCTAATAGTGTTGTTTGGGCGCAGCAATTTTAAGATATTTACCAGGTTTTTTAAGTCAGCACTCTGGATTTTCCCGTAACCAGGATTTTTTGGGGGTAGGGGTCTAATGGATTTTTTTGATTTGGAGGCTGTATTCTATTTTCCCATGGCATCTCTAAAGATGAAATTTTTTCTTTCATTGGAAATTGAACGTTTATATACATTTTGGGCTAAAAAGAGACTTAAGATGTTCCAAAATATTTTCTTAGAAATTATTATAATTTTATTTTCAAAATTTTTAGGTTTAGGCCCGATCGAAATTAAACACGACCATATCACTGGCGAGGTACATATCAAGTATTTTTAATAGTCTGTAAATATAAAAATTAAACAAAAATATTAACTGAAAGGACGATTATTTGTTTAGTTGAATTTTTTTTGAAAAGTTTGGGGAGAGATCAACTAGGGGGTCGAGTTTTCCCTATTCTGTGGGTTTTAAATTGGCCTGTTGTTGAATTGGCGTTTAGAATTTATAAGGCCCTTTTCGACTCGCACTTTCCTGTTTACGTCAGCAAAACTTTGGGCTGATTTTTTCAGAGAGAGATTCCCTCATTAAAAAATTCTGGGCTTAAAAATTAATTAAAAAATATTTTTAAAAAATCAATTTTATTAGAATAAATTTAATAAAAATTAATTAGATTTTTCAGCGCAAATGGTTTACTTTAACTGAATGGGAGAAGAACTTTTTCGAGATTGATTTTGAATTTTTGAAGGAGATTTACTTGGCTTCTAATTTTTTGGATATTAAATCCCTCTACTATTATTGTATTTTTTAAAAGTTTTGTTTAGAAAAAAATTCCTCTTCTTTAAAGGTGCTCAAGAAGCGGCACGTTGTATTATGGATAAAAGTGCTCAAGAAATACGTGATATGTTGGGGTTGCCGGACGTGAGGAATTTTTATATCTAATTTAATTTTGAGTAAAACATTCAAATATTTCACCTCAAAAGATGAGCTTAGGTCCCTAGGGTTTTTCAATTTCCATAGACATCAGAGTTAACAAGCATTTCCGATCATAGAGAGTTGGACCGGTCTACTTATTGTTAGGTCGATAAGTGAATCGTCAGACCAAAGTTTTATGGGTATATAACAAAAGCACCTTTAAATTTTTTTCAATATTTATCGGTATTTTTCGGTATTCCGTACTGTAGTACGGTACTGAACAAAATTCCGGGTTCTATTTTTAACTCTGTGACAGGTTTTTTTTTGGCTAGACGGTGTTTTGGGTTGACATTCATTTTTTACAAAACAAATAGATCCAAAAAATTGCTAAAAATAGTCTCTAAAAATCCAAAATTAAATTTTTTAGGACTTAACAGATGAGGAGAAGGCCGCTATTGCAAGGGAGTATGAATATCGTGAAGAGGGTAGTACACCACCGCCACCACCAGCAGCAGGGGAGGTTATAGATGAGTCTAATTTGGTCGGAACTTCCTCTTCCTTTCTTCCAAAGAGTTCTTCCTCTTCTTCTTCTCAAGTTTATGCAAATATTAATGGAAGTGAAGTGACCTTAGAATTTAATGGTGAAAGTAGTGCTAATAATAATAAAAAGGATGAAGGTGGTGATAAACCTGGGCCATCCTCTTCTTAATTTTGTTTTTTAATTATTTTGGGTGCTTTTATTTATGCCACACACTCCTTTTTAATTGATAATTTTAATTGTTGGGAATGTTATTGAGAAAAAATAGGAAAGAAAGTTGAGTAGGTTTGAGGCGAGTTTCTATTAGGAAGGGATATCCGTTTTTTTGAAAATTATTTTGGGCCGAGTTTTGTGACCGTTCAATGTTGGACTTAAGAGAATCTGAGTCTTGTTGTGTTGCCTTACCCAAAATTGAAAATAATAATACTGAGTGTGGCATAAAAATAACAAAAGTACTAGAGTCCGGATTGTAAGGGCCGTACGAAAATCGGGATCGATTTCTCTAAAATAATCTCGATGTCGATAACCTGATTTTCGTTCGATATCTCGTTATGTACTTTATTTTTTAATCTCGTTTTATTTTTTGTCATATTTAAAATTGTTTGTTTGACTTGATAATTTTTTGAATAAAAATAAAAGGCTGCTTATTAACTGGATCAACTCCTGATGTAGAGGTGGATCATTTATCCAAATCCCATTTCAATTAAATGAATCAAAATTTGAAGTTAAAATAGATAGATTAGGGGTATGCAACACTCAGGATAACGAGACAGAATTTTTCTTCTTAACCGATGCCGGATTTTTTTAAATCGAAAAAATCCCGGGTCCCGAAAATAAAAAAAATCCGGGATTTCGGGATCCCGGAAAATCAGGGATTTCGGGATCCCGTTCCGCGCCGATCTCTAATATAGATCAATTCCACATTTAAGTGCTAAACTGCATTTTTGTCTTATTTATTTGCCTCAAAATAATAAAAATATAAATTTATTTTTAAATAATTAAACTTTAAATATTTACAAAAATTTTACGTAAAAATATTTCCTATTTTTTTACAATTTAATGATTGATATGGAGTTTTTTCAACTGCAAAACATTGTTTTTAAATAATTTTTTTTTAAATTCTTTAATTGACTTTTAGAATTATTTTTTTTAAATGATTAAATTAATATTTTTTATTTTATTTTTGCAACAATATAATTCTTACGAATTTGAAAATAATAAAAGTAAAACTTAAAAAATTTTTAAAAAGAATAAAAATGATTTTATTTTGAGATATTTTAAATATTGTTAAAAAAATTATGTCAATTTTAAATTACAAACAAAAATAAATCTCTTGAATTTGACATTATTTCACATATTTATTTTCTTAATATGTAGGTCTTAAGGTATTTAGATTTAGTGGATTTAGCACAAAGTTCTAACTTGCTTCAGGATTTTCGAATTTAACCAGATTTAGTATTAAATGATTCCTCTCATCGAGCTAAGGAGCTTAGTACTTAAAGTGATAAGGGACAGAAATTATCAAGCTAGTTATAGCTTTGCACCATCATGACCGAGCGCCTTTTTGGGTTATGCTCAGATTTTGTATACGATTGTGATTTTCAGTTATTTTGACCTATTTCAAAGCCAACCAACCCTATTCTTCAAACATTTTTCAAATAATTTTAATTATAAGAACGATCTAAACGCTTTACCATTAGATATACATTCAATTAATCCAAGAACAAAAAGAGAAAGACCTGGAGATGGAAATTTCAAAATAGATAGAGCTACTAAAACAAAATTTTCTGAGCCAAATGATCCGCTATGGAAGGATATGTGGTAGATTTTAGTTATTAATTCGAACCTCACTATAAGATACCCTGCTTAGTATGAAAATCTTGTCATCTTATACATAAGTAATTACTAAGTGTTGTCTATTGAGATAGTTGTTATCTCAATGGCCAACAAAATTTTTGAAGATCATAAATGGTTGAATTTCGATAAGATAGGCATTTAATAGTGGATGCCTGACTGGGGTGAGAGGCAAAACTTCGAATTTAAAAACTCGGTCAATACAAAACTTTTTCCAAAGAAAAAATCTATTTTTCAATTGGGGAAGGGGGGGGGGGGTAGGTTATTGTCCCGTTGACGGAACAATAAGTTGTTGGAACAATATCCCTGTTTATCAGGTCGAAGTATTGCCCTGCCACTATCTGACTGTACTAATAATTTTATTTTAAAAATACGGCAAAATGTTAATTTTAATGTAGGTACGTAAACAACAAATTTTATGACCCCAAAAAAATTGATCATAATGTCATAGAAGCATGGGATTTGGGGTATACTGGTCGTGGGGTTGTTGTTTCTGTTATAGATGATGGATTAGAGATAACCCATGAAGATTTGGCAGGCAATTATGATCCAGATGCGTCTTATGATGTAATTGATAACGATGAAGATCCAACGCCTATAGATGATGTGGATCATCAAGGAACACGTTCTGCTGGTGTAGTGGCTGCTATCTTTAATAATTCACGTTGTAATGTTGGAGTCGCTTATGATGCAAAAATCGGAGGGATTCGTCTGCTGGACGGTTATCTTTCAGACTATATTCAAAATGAATTTTTTATAAAAATTTATTTCATAAGATACCTATAACGACACAAGAGAAGCAATCGCCCTTGGTTATAAACCTCAACACATTGATATCTATCTAGCTAACTGGGGTCCGACAGACGATGGGTATTAAATTTTCAGATGTTTTTGTTATTGTAATTAAAGAAAAACACTCGATGGGCCAGGAGAGCTAGCTAAGGAGGCTATATTGCAAGGCGTTAATGAAGGAAGAAATGGAAAAGGATCAATTTATATTTGGGCAACAGGGATTGGCGGAGAAGGCGAGCAAAATCTCGTTATGATTAGAGGAAAATTCGGTTTCTGTTCAAATTACACGTCCAATAGCGGGTTGGATGATTTTGAATTTTAAAAAGCGGAAACAACCGGGAAATATAACCGGGAAATATAATGAAATATGATAAAAATGACTTTGAACCCAAAAGTTTCGAGAAGTTTCGTTCAAAAATAATCGTTAACGAGGTTTTTCCAAATATGTACTGAGCTCAGTCCGGTAACTACTACGGATGGCCAGTTTATTTGTATTCATTCAACGACAACACACCCATCCATCTATTACTTAATTTAAAATTAACAAAATTTAAATTATATTTTAATCATAGATGATTCTTGTAGCGCGGACGGATATGTAAGTTCAATCTACACAATTTCAATTTCTGCTACTACTGAAGATGGCGGAGTCCCTTGGTCAATTATAGATTTATCTTCTTATAATTAAAGATTATATAGGTATTCTGAATCATGCAGCCCAACTATTGCAACAGCCTTCTCCGGTGGTTCTGCCAATGACAGGATGATTGCTACAACACAATTACACAATTCGTGCACATTGAAATTATCTGGGACAACTGCTGCAGCGTCATTAGCTGGGGGGATTATTGCCTTGACATTAGAAGCCAACCCAAATTTAGGTTGGAGAGATATACAGGTACATAACTGGAACTATATGTGTCTCTATACTCTTCTATGAAGATCTATATCCTATCAAGTTCAAATAATTTCCGCGTGTATGAAAGAGCCGCTATTAAAAAATTTCATTTAAGCATATTATTGTAAGAACTGCAAAACCACATTCTTTACGTGCTGCTGATTGGCGTAAGAATGGACTTGGTCGTTGGTTCTCTCACTCATATGGATATGGTCTCATTGATGCGGGTGCAATGGTCCGAATGGCACGTAAATGGAAAAATGTTCCAAAAGCTTTAAATTGTTCAAATGTTTATCAACAGGCAGATTTTATGTCCGTATTTACTTGATTAGGGGAAATTAGTAATTTATAATGTTATTAATTCAATTAACTTGGAAAATGTTAACTTTAATTATGCCAATTATTCAGAGCCATTGAAAATGGAACAAGCTTTAATGCAACTTTATACACTGCAGGGTGCTTAGATAATGGAAATGATAATCGAGTTAATTTTCTAGAGCACGTCCAAGCAATTATAGACGTTGGAGCTTTTACTCGTGGCAAAATAGAAATTTATTTGACAAGTCCTAAAGGTGTTCTTTTTTTGTTTTTTCGGGAAAATAATCAAAATTTTCAAGGCACTCGTTCAAAACTTATGTCTAAAAGGCCTAAAGACACCAGCAGTCTTGGCTATATTAATTGGGAATTTATGTCCGTTCATTTTTGGGGAGAGAGTTCTGATGGTAATTGGACTTTGGAGATTAATAATGCTGATGAAGAAAATAGTAAGTATGTATAGTAAAGCAGAACTGGGCTATAGCTATTTATCTCCTTCGGCTAGTGTAAAAGGTTATCTGGCGGCTGGGAGCGAACCAGGATCTTCTGTATACCGGACTTATGTGTGTATATTTATTACATCCATTATACCACGCTGCCTACTGCACAGCCTTAGGAATTAAATAGTTATAGTAATGTGCTTTACAAATGGGCATCTAAATAAAAAACTTAAAAATTTACTAAATAGTTATTGTACTTAATAAATGGCAATTGGTTCTTCATGGCACAAATGATTCTATAGATGAGATATAAAGCATTTTAAATAGACATTTTAACACTGATTAAAATTGTCTGTTTAAAGTTTAAAATTTTATTAAAATTCTGATTTTAAACAAGGAAATTTTTTATAAAATTTTCAATAAATTACATGTTATGCTAGGGATTATTTACTAAAATTTTAAAAATAATTCACGAATCGTAATTAAAATCGTAATAGTTTTTTAATTCTGATTATTTTTTAAGAATAAAAAATGTAAATAAAAAGTAGGAATAAACATTACAAAAACAAGTAAAATACCTGACGGAGTATTTTAGTCGTCTAGAATGATTATTGCAGTCTCAATATTTTAATTACTCTGACTGAGCCATATCCGAGTTCAGTAAGTATAATTTAATAACTTTAGACATAAGAATACCGAGCAATTTTTAGTTTAGATCAGAAATTATTTATCAGTAAATTGATAAAAGTAAATTTCAAAAAATAAATCAAAACAAATTTAATAAAATTCTTTAAGAACTGAATGTTTAGTAATATCATATTTAAACGGTTTCGACTTCAAATCATCTCCAAAATTTGTTTCAATAGAACAACAGTTTAAGTAAACACGTGGTTTGTAATATGAGTAGAAATTGTCTATCAATAACACACCTTTGCCTTTAAAAAAATAAAATTTTGTAAAAATTGTTTTTATATTCGGTTATCTCCCCAAATTTCCTTTTCTTTCATTCTTTTCTCCTTTCACCAAAAACAAATTCAAAAAAGTTAAGGGTAATTATTCAAATCAAGCGAAGCTTGAGGATCTTTTCCCCGCCGAAATTATTCTAAGACCCAACATTAGTGGTGTTGCTGGGCCTGGTGTTTCTTAGCTAGCACACGCTTAAAATAACGCACTATTGGTTCCAAAATACAGAACGGAGTATTTACCCCCTTAAACCTTCAAAATCCCCCGATATTCCCTTTCGAAAGTTGTAGGCCTTCCGGGACAATAGGTCCTCAAGGTTAACCCCGTAGGGATATAACTAAATAGTGTATTTACATTAAATAAATATTAACCAATTTGTTTTCCGTTTAGTGTAAAAAACATATAAGGAAATTTTAATTTAATAGTTGGTGGATAAACTAATCCACAACCAAAAATGTCGCCATTATCCAAGTCAAGTATTTGTGTAAGTTTAAACGATTCCTTATTCTCGTTAATAATTTCAGCTTCTTTAGTTTGACATCTAATCCAATTACAAGTACTCAAATTTTTAAGTCCAAAAACCATCCATTTCCCCTCTTTATTTAAACTTCCTTCAAAAACTATACATTTAACTTCATAATAATATAAAGAATAATTGAAGCTATTTTTCGGTTCTTTAAATGGATTCTCTGCAGAAATTGAAACAAATTTATCATACCCTAAAAATGTTTGTAAAGAAATTAAAAGCCAAAAAATTAATGATCAAAGGAAATGGGTTATAAATCCAGATAATAGTTTGGCGAGTTGACCTTAAAGACCTACGACTTTTGAAAGGGAATATCGAGGGATTTAGAGGGATTAGAGGCGAGGGAGGATATGTGCTCATTCGAAAAAGCACTTCGAACTAAGTTGATGGCACTAAAATTGACTAAATCTTAACAAAGCTCTTTCGAATGATATGAATATAAATTATGTATCATTCAAAATAGCTCAAAATAGTTTTGGAAACAGGTGAAAAGAGAGGGGGCGTTAACACAAATCCATTTCCTTTAATAATTACCGATAGCTTTGTTAGTGTTTACACCTTTATTCTCACAATATTTGTATCCGCTATTAATTTCTTCCCATTTATTTTCAATTTTGACAAAATTCTTTAAGAAAAATTATTTACTATTTAATACTATAAACTAACCACATATTCAAAAATTAAATTATCTAATTTAACAGATAAATCACTAAGCTTTTTATTATATAAATCATCTGCCTAAAATTTAATTTAGGAACAAATTAATTTTTTAATTATTAATTTATGTACCTTCTTAATTTTTTCTTCCAAAAAATTAATTTGTTCTGCTTTTTGATTATCTTCAGCTTTTAAGTGTAGAATATTTTCTTTTAAAGTTTTAATTTGTTTTTCATGTTCTAATTGGATAACTCTAATTTTATTTTCATGATCAGAATTTGGTTTTTGAATTTTCTAAAAAAACAAAATATGTTTAAGTAACATAATCCAGTATTTTTGGCATGTGGACGTATCGGGGCGGACGAACCGCGATATTTCAATATACCTATGTACATGCCAGGGGTGTGCCTTTCAGCTTTGGTGCTCCTTCTTTTGCTTTTTAAATTACCTTTCGCTTTTTAAAATCTGTTTCGGCACACCTCTGGTTTCAGGACCTACGGCCATTGGGTCTTGGATAGTATACCGTCCTATTGAGGAAAAAGATATTTTAACAAAAAAACCCAATATCAGCCCACAGTTCATTGAAAAAAATAGAATTGCTTTATATCAAACACCCCTAGATATCGGGAGGACCCTGTTCCAATTCCAAGGAAAGTCGTTCCAACACGGATAAGTATGTTCCTCGTTGTCCCTCACTTTCTTAATTTCCTTCAATTCATTTTCTAAAGACAGGCTTTTCTTTTCCAGATTAGCACTCTTTTCCTTCTCCTCATTAAATTTTATTTGAAGATTGTTAAAATCATTAGAAAGTTTAATTAATCCATTTATTTGTTTATTTAGCTTAAAATATTATTTTTTAATTAAAATATTTTTTAAAATTTACTTTTGCTTCCAAATCAGAATTCGATGGCCCTTCTTCAGCCATTTTGTATAAAAGAATTTCTTTGATTTAAAAATAATTAGAAAATTAAGACCGTATCTGAAAACAAGGGTCCTTTGGTTTTTTTCCCAACATTTTTTTCCTTCCATAAAATCGTCAATTTATGACATAATGGTAAGCCTTTTCTTCATCGTTGAATTACAATAAGCTTGCCTAGGCATAGTCAAAGGATAGATGATAAAGAAGTTCATTTTTCCTTACGGCAAACATCAGAAAGCATCAACTACTAAGGAAAATGACGATTTTAAGGAAGGAAAAAAATGTTGGAAAAAAACCAAAGGACCCTTGTTTTCAGATAGGGCCAAAATTAATCTCCCTGTTAAAAAATCGGATTTATATATATACGTAAAAAAGAATAAAATTAAGGAGCTACGGGTAATGTTTAAATTAATTTCTAAAATTATATGTATGAAAAGTAGAGCTCGGCACGGGACGGGACCCCGTACGGGATTTTACGGGATCCCGTCCCGGAATCCCGGGTTTTTCGCGGAAAACGGAATTACCGGGATTCCGGGATTTACGGGATTAATCCCGCGGGATCCCGTCCCGGTCGAATTTTGAAAACCCAATCCCGTTCCGGGATCCCGGGAATTTTTTTCAAATTTGCGGGATTTGTTATTACTCCAGTAAACTGCCTGCAGAGCTGAAAAAGGAAGAAATCTGGCTTCGTGGCCTTCCAAAATTCTCAAAATTTTCGCCTGCGGCGCTGAAAATGGAAGAAATCTTCTGACTTACTCTCAAAAATTCTCAAAATTTTCGCCTGCGGCGCTAGAAAATGAAAAAAGCGGGCTTCTTAGCCTTACAAAAAAGACTAAAGTTGGCTTCACCTTCCAAAATTCGAAAAATCATCCTGTGTTGGATGATTACGAGTAATAGAAATGGATCTTGGGATTAACAGAAATATAGGGGGATTGTGAGGTGTACGTGGTTTGTGAGGTTTATATCCACTTAAGTTCAATTCCGGAGGATTAAGAGATATATGATGTTGGGGTATTTGAAAATGGATATCATGGGTTTGGGATTAACACAGGATTAAAAAGGATTTGGAGGATAATAGTGGGTATCAGGGATTTATGGATTAAGAGATATATCAGGATCTGTGGATTAAGAGTATTGAGGGATTAGATGAATAATCCCCATATATCCATTCAAATCCAGTTGAGCCATCTAAATCCGCTATATTCGCCTTAACCCACCGTTCTTCAAATCACTCTTTATCACTCCCAATATACCGATATCACCCTAAATCCACCTATAAGCATTCAAATCCTTTTAATCTCTCTTAATCCACTGATATCCCTCTTAATCCTCTGATATATTCATTTGTCCCTTAAATCAATCGAAATCCACCGATATTGTCTTCAAATCCGCCGATATTCAACATATTTATAATTTTAAAATTTTTTTGTGAAAATCCCGGAATCCCGGCGGGATCCCGGGAAATTTGAAAACGGGATTACCGGGATTCCGGGATTTACGGGATTAATCCCGCGGGATCCCGTCCCGTACAAAATTTTGAAAAAAAATCCCGTTCCAGGATCCCGGGAATGCGATTTTGCCGACCTCTAATGAAAAGTAAATGAATTAGAAAAATAAAGATTTTTTTGCCAAAGGAAATTTTGAGTAAATGAAGAGAAGAAAAAGGAAAAATCTTTTAAAATATTCCTTTAGGAAATTGATATACATACTTAATTGGGTTTTTAATGATAGGCAAAAACTTTTTCTTTGTATTCATTTAATAAGTTCAGCAAAAAATATATTCAAAAATTGATAAGTTAAATTAAAAATAATTAACTTAAAAAACAAATTTTCAATTAAATTCTTTAACAACTAAATGATTTGAAATGTCATATCTGAAAGGTCTTGACTTCAAATCATTTCCAAAATTTGTTTCAATAGAACAACATCTCAGAACAACACGAGGTTTATCAAAATTGTCCTTTACTAATGTAGCCTTCCCTTTAAGAAAAAAATTTTGTTGAAATAATAGGTACTTTTTCGTTAATTGACCGCAAACTGAGTATTGGCCGAATTTAAACAGCTATAACTTTTTGAAGCTTGATCCAATACAGTTGGATCAAGCTGATCACTCATAAAAAAGTTATAACCCGATAATAGTGAAAAACAACGATTTCTTGCACTTATCGACTTGTAACTTTTTTATGAGTGATCAGACCTGATCCATACAGTTGGGTAAAAGATAGAGCTTATCGAAAACGTTCGAATGATATAAAATTCAACTGTATTGGATCAAGCTTCAAAAAGTTATAGCTGTTTAAATTCGGCTAATACTCAGTTTGCGGTCAATTAACAAAAAAGTACCAATAATATTTTAATTATTTACCGATTTGTTTTCCATTTTGTGTAAAGAAAATATAAGGGAATTTCTTCGGCATATTAGTTGGAGGATAAACTAATCCACAACCAAAAATACCAAAATTATCAAAAGATGTCGAAACACTAGATGGGTTATTCTTCTTGTTTTCAATTATAGCATACTTTGGATTAAACACAATATTTTTATTTGTATCACAATTTTTCAATCCAATATACATTTCAACTGCCCATTTATCTTTTTCAAATAGACATTTAACTTCAAAATAATATAAAGAATAATTAAGCAAGCTTTGTGGGTTTTTAAATGAATTTTCTGCATGAACACGGACATAATGATCGTAACCTTCAAATATTTACAGCAAATTAAAATTCGAAAAATTTTAAATTAATTTACCTTCTTCCCCCTCCAAACAATTAATATATTTAATATTTTCATCATCAATTATATTAACAAATCCATTTCCTTCAATACAATTACCAATAGGGTTGCCTGTATTTATACATTCATTTTCACAACATTTACTATGTCCATAATTAATCTCACTCCATTTATTTGTAATTTTAACAAAATTCTTTAAAAATTATTTTTTATAATTTGGTACTAAATATATTAAATAAAATTATTGGTACTATGCATTATCCTTTTCTCTTTCCATTTCCGAACTTTTTATGCTTCCTAAATCTTATATCATCCGAAAGCTCTCGATAAGCTCTATCTTTTTTCATCTGGATGGATCAAGTCTGATCGCCCGTTAAAAAGTGATTTATTCGGATTGATCAGGGTTTAAAAAGTTTATAGACGCTCAAATGGAGGGATATCAAGGCATAGTACCAATAATTTTATTTAATTATAAACTACCCACACAATTCAAATTGTATTTCTCAGCTATAGTCATATTACTTGAACTCTGAGTAAATTCATCATCTAACTCGTCAGAACTGTCACATGCTTTTTCGACAGAAAATTGTTTAATATCGTCCAAAGTAGCAGGAACTCGGCAACTAGGACAATTTTCTGCCTAAAAATGTTAAAAATAGAAGATGAAAATACATTTTAAGTTTGATTTGTGGATTTTTTGGTATAATTAAATCAACTATAAAGGCTGATACACTTTGAGATGGGAAAGAGACTTGCCACCGGTGGTTGGAAACTCGTACGAGTACGAAAAAAATGGCAAGTACAAGTACGAGCAAATTTCAAAATTCCAACCACTGCCTACCACACATGTACTTATTATTAGTAGATAGTCTAAACTTAGATAGTATCTCTTAGTATATTTTAAATTTTTGTGGATTTACAAAAATAGGGGAAATATCAAGAAAATTATTCGAAAATTATAAAACCCTCCAATACATGTTATTTAGCCAGTATAAATTAAAAAAAATTAATTTCCTCACCCCTTCGGTAATCCAACGAGTAATACAATATTCATGGTATGTATGATTACAACTTTTCAAAATATAAACATTTTCATGATTCAATTGAGATTGGCAAACAATACAAGAACCAAATTTATAAGATATCTTTTTTAGGTTCTACAGGAAAATTAATTTTAATAATTTAGGAAATTATTTTTACAAATTTGAGAGATGTGTTAAACAAATAAAATACTTTAAAAAATTTTTAAATTTAATTATAAACTAACCACATATTTAATATACATATTCTTCAATTTAACTGATAACTCATTATTCGATCCTATCTGAATAAGAGGGCGGTTTGAATTTTTTCCTTCATTTTTTCCTACCTTAATATATAAATAATGGTCAGTCTTTTCTTCCTCGTTCAATTCCACTCTTTTTACCTGTGGCAAATTCAAATGAGAGGATTAACTTTTTTATACAAGGAAAAAAATAAATAATCAAAGGCAATATTTTTCTTTTAATTTTTTTACAAATGCATCAGTAATTGATTCGCATTTCGCTCGTGCATTTTGCCGAAAAAGAGCTTCCATCATGTATGAGTCAGTTAAACTTTTATTTAATCCCATCAAATTTTCGCAATTTTCACATTTCATTTCGTTATTCAGTAACCCATGGTACGCTAAAAATTTTAACACCCCTATATTATCCAAAGATAATATCCAAAAAAGAGTTATAATTTCAAAATCTGGTGAGTACTGAAAATGTGTTAACATTAAACATAATGTATTAATCAATTACCTCATTAGATTCGACAATATTAGTTATTTTTTTACGCATTCTTGTAAATTACAAAAAAATATAAAATATATGAAAGTGAAACGTAAACAAACTTTTTTTTACTTTTTGTTTTATTTTTTTACATTTTTTGTTTTTTTAATCTTTTCTTTGTTCACTTTTATTTGAATTTGCCACAGGTAAAAAGAGTGGAATTGAACGAGGAAGAAAAGACTGACCATTATTTATATATTAAGGTAGGAAAAAATGAAGGAAAAAATTCAAACCGCCCTCTTATTCAGATAGGGCCCATTATTCTTTTTGTCAAATAATGCATTTGCCTTTTTATATGAATTAAATTTTTAAAATTAATTTTTGGTTTAAAATTAGGGTAGCATTATACCTATCCACAAAAAAGGTGACAAATCAGATCCTAATAACTATAGACCTATATCTCTAACATGCACACTTTGTAGAGTACTAGAGAGACTTATTAGTATCGAAATAATAAAATTTTTGAATAAAAAATCTTATTTCTCGGATGACCAATATGCATTTCTAACTAACAGATCAACTTCTACTCAATTATTAGTAATGTTAAATGATTTCTACAATGCTATTCAGGAAAATAAATCTATTGATATTGTCTATATTGACTTCGCTAGAGCATTTGATTCAGTACCTATTAACAGAATACTTTATAAATTGAAATCAATCGGTATAGCTGGGAAGATATATACATTTATTAAGAATTTCCTAGAAAACAGGACCTTTAGAGTTAAAATTGAGAATACCCTCTCTGATAGCTATCCAACCTTATCTGGTGTACCACAAGGAAGTGTCCTTGGACCACTACTTTTTCTAATATTTATTAATGATTTAACAAAATATTTACCTGAAGGTATACATATAAAAATTTATGCCGATGACGTGAAACTATATATTGATCATAACAATGATTTAAGAACCGAAGTTCTATCTGAAGCTCTATCATGTATTGAACACTGGTCTTCTCTTAATGGTTTAGATATTTCACTAGAAAAATGTGTTGTTCTCTACATAGGAAAAAATAATCATAAAAGAACATATAAGTTACTAGGAAAACAAATGAGTGAAGTAGATAGTGTTCGGGATCTTGGTATTATAATTGATTCTAGTTTATCATTTTCCAAGCATTATGAAAAAATTATCAAAAATGCTTATTTCCTCACACACCAGATATTTAGAGTAATTAAAACTAAAGATATAAATAAACTTGTATTTTGCTACAAAACATATGTAAGGCCCTGTCTAGAATACGCAACCGAAGTATGGAATCCATCTAAAGCGGAAACCTCCCACCAAATAGAGAGAGTCCAGAAATTCTTTACACGAATTGCCCTTAAAATTTGCTCAATTACACCTAGGAACTATGAAGAAAGATTAAAATTATGTAAGCTTAAGAAGCTAACTGAGCGACGCTGTATTTCAGACTTATGTATGACATATAAATTTATAACCGGACATACCCATCTAAAACCAGATAAATTTTTTATATTTGCGAAAAGAAATTTACGCAGGAAATATCTAATTCAAAATAAGGGCTACTCATTTAAGACAAAAAATAATTTCTTCATTAGAGTCATTAACATTTGGAATAAATTACCTAAAGAAGTCATTGAGTGTGCAAATCCCAAAAAATTTAGAGTATTAGCTAATTGTGTAGATTTTGGTCTTTAAGGGTTTTTAACATTATTTTTCATTAAATATAATCACATATATTTTTTTTAAATCACATATATTTTTTTTTCATCCACATTTATTTTTTTTCAAATATCATTTATTTTTTTTAAAGTTTTTATAACTTTCCAACGCATTTATTTGTATTGTTTTTTTTTATCCATTGTAAGTGTACATGCTTGTATGTACCTTTTGGTGTTCGTTATAAATAAATAAATAAATAAAAAATTTTAAAATATCCCAAAAATATATTTCCAAGTTTGAGAAAAAAAACATTTTTTTCTATCATCATAAACAAAATGGCACTATATGAAAGGAGGTCGATAATCGTTTTTTTTTTTCATCACTTTTTCTATTACTTTTTTCCTTCCTTGATATGACAGAATGGTCAGTCTTTTCTTCCTTGTTCAATTCCACTCTTTTTACCTGTGGCATATTCAAATGAGGACAGACAAAAACACACACACGGACAGACAAAACACGAGTGTTTTCTGTTCGCGTCCGTTCGTGCTTGTTTGGTGTTTTTCTGTCTGTGTTCGTCCGTGTTTGTCTGTCCGAGTCCGTCCGCCTTTTGTCCGTCTGTGTCCGTCCGTGTTTGTCTGTCCGAGTCCGTCCGCCTTTTGTCCGTCCGTTGCCTTATTGAGTCATTCTCCTTTCCATTAATTCTTTCCTCTTTCATTTCTTTTGATTATGCCACAGGCAAATATAATGGAATTGAACAAGTAGGAAAATGCTGACCATTCTGTCATATCAAGGAAGGAAAAAAGTAATAGAAAAAGTGATGAAAAAAAAACGATTATCGACCTCCTTTCATATAGTGCCAACAAAATGATAGGGATGGACATTCACCCAAAAATCTTAACTCAGAAAAATATTAACGATCTTAATATTCTGAAAATCAACGTAAAAACTAGGCGCAAACAATATTTTCGCACCTTATGAATTTTTAAATTGTTGATAAAGGCTAATTCGAAAGACTTTAGAATTTTCAACAAAATACGTTAGGTCTCGTAAGTGTAAAAAATTCTGTATATTCTAGAAGTTAAGGAGGTCTAGTTTTAACTAACCACATATTTACAATGCATATTCTTCAATTTAACAGTTAATTCATTATTCTTTTTGTCAGATGCATTCTTTTCAGCTAGTAATTTCTGAAAATTTTGCCTCATTTCTTCAATTTTCTAAAATTATTTTCAAAAAATTTAATCAAAAAAAATCCCAACTTTATCCCTTTCTTTCAACTCATTTTCTAGAAAAAAATTATTTTCCTTCTCTTCAACAAAAAATTTTTGAAGATTATTAAAATTGGGGTGAAGTTTAATTAATTTATTGTTTTGTTTTTTAATATTTGATAATCTTTCTTCGTTCATTTTATAGAGAATTTTTTAATTAAATAATTTTTTTATTTAAATATTATCCAAAATTTTGAAGGAATTTTCTTAAATTTAAATTAACTTAAAAAACAAGGCAGTTTAAGAAAAAATTGAAAAGACAAAAACGATAAACTGCCTTGTTTTTCAAAGTTTTATAAAATTTTAATAAATTTCAAGTTAAGTTTACAAAAATAAATTAATTTTTTCTTAAACAAAAATTTAAATTATATGGAGTTTAAATAAAAATTGAACTTTAAAAATATTAAAATTTCAAATACTTATATATTGAAGGGTTTTTGCCCAGAGAAACTTTTGATTTGAATGTTGAGAAAAAAATTTATTTGTTGAGGGAATATTTTAAATTTAAACTAAAAACGGTTTTAAAATACAGTGTGCGGCAAATTTTCCGCCACTTTTGTTTTTGCCATAACTCTCTTAAATGTCGATTAAAATTTCTAATTCTTTTTTAAAATTTATTCCCAACACTCTAAGCAAATTTTTGGTCCAAAATATTTTCTAAATTTTAGAAATTAATTTGATTATTTTTGCTTAAAATTTTCGAAGAATTTTTTGGGCCAAAAGTCGTCTTCTTTAAAGGCTATATGCTTATGTACTTTCAGATTAAACTTTTAACACTTATACTTAAATTTTTCATTAAAGAATTAAATATTTTTAAATATTTATCCAACAATACAATATACATACATACATACAATTACAAGATTATACAAAAAATACATACACATTATACAGCAAATATATAACAAGAAATAGCAGGGAATACACAATCAACCTGCAAATAATATATAGAATATAGGGAAATTTGTGTATCTGTAGAAAGTATACACATATAGAGAGGCATATAGCCTTATAGTGAATATATAGATAGATATAGGTTATAGGGAATAAAGGAATAAGTTTAGATATATAGGGGATATAGGGAATTATAGTTGAGATTTGGAGAGAATATTGGGAGAACAATTAAATAGAGAATGGATGATTTACAAATTTTTTACACACAAATTATTCTCTATTCCCAAATATCCTCTCAACTTCTAGTTTTTATTCTTATCCACAGACTTCTCAGAACATCTTCTCCCATCACTTATTAGCTGCCTCCTTTCCCGTTGGAGTTTTTGCTGTCTTCTTCGCCTCTTTGCCCTTTCCATCGTTGGTGTCAACTTTTGCCCCCGTCTTTTCAATCGCTTCGTTTATTCTCTTCTCAAAGTCTGCATCGTCTTCACCAAACCGTCTGGTGTATCCCTTCTGAAAATAATAAAATTGATTTTATTTTTTGTTCTCCCAATACTTGTGGACCGTCTTTTTTCATTAATTATTTAATAAGACCAAATTTAACTAAACAAAGGAGGTTTTCTCAAAATTAACCAGTCGCTTCGATCCACAAGTGACGGCCTTTTAAATAAACACTCCTTACCTCCATTTTCCAATGTTTGAAATCACCAGCTGCCTCAAGACCTCTCTCCTTCACATCCGGTTCATACAAATACAGGAGTATTTTCTTGTTTATAGCTTCATCAAGGTCCATCCTGTTGAACTCACTAATGACGTAGGTGTCGGCGATTGTCTGAAAAAATTTTTTTCATTATTTTTAAAATAATTTATTTTACCAATTTTTCAAGTTTCTTTTGTTTTCTTGCCATATAATACCAGACAGAGAATCCAACGCCAATTACAACCACTACCGCAACAATTACCACAATCCAAACTTTACTATTTTTTTCGGTGTCCTTTTCTTCCTGTACTTTAGCTGTTGGTGGAGTAGTATTTCCTTGCTGTGTACCTGCCGCTGTTGTTTTAGTCGTTGTTGTGACTGTAGATGTTGTTGGTGGTGGAACATAAAGAAATTGGTAGTCTGACGTGTTCTAAAAGAAAATTTTTCGGATTTTTGGAAATAATGCAAAATATTACAAAGCGGATGTAGAGAGGACATCTTGGTTTAGTTCCAGGTTCAAAGTTCCCTCCTTTTGGCAATTGTGTAGCATTTGACGGAAGTAGATGAAAAACGAGCAGATATTTATCCTTCAGGTCTTCACCTCCATTTTTGATTTCCCATGTTTTTGGTTTGGCAATTGCTCCTTCTTTTTTAACACAGAAAATTCTCTTCTTTGCCGCATCGTAAAGATGTTCACTTCCTGTCTCAAAATCCATTTTGAAGCTGCTATTATCAAATATCTCCAGATTGAAATTGAATTCCCTCATTGTGTAATCTTTTATTTGATCCAGACCCGGCTCAACTTCACCAACTAAAATGAATATTTATTTGAAAATATAAATAATCGTCCTCTTACTTAGATGGGTATGAGCGTATATATCTTCACCACATTTACTCCACGAAACCTCGAGAAACGTCTGAGTAATGCACCCTCTCGCGCACTTCGATATAGCACAATCATTATCCCCATAGGCTGGACCTTCAGTGAGATTTTTGAGATCCTTATTGTTTCTGCTGTAGGCAAAGGGCATGCTTAAAAACATTTGTTTAATATTTCCCAATAGGCATTTAACTAAAACTTACAGATTTGAAAATCCATCCCTGAAATGTGCCACATTATCCTTGCAAACACCCAAGTTACAACTACTTTTCGTCAAATCTATGCCGGTCGTGAATTTGATCATGTTCGTTTTGGTGGTAAGCAGTTCAACAGTGCACCCAACATCGCCTTTGTATCGAAGTTCACTGGAAAATTAAAAAAAATTTTTTGCACTTTCCCCAAATTTTAAGGGAAATCAACTTACATGTTTTCGGGAGTGATTTTAAAATCACAGACACTCGGAAAATGCTTCTTGTATTCGTCATATTCAAGACTCGTTTTGAGCTGCATACTTCCAGGCTTGACCGTCACTTGATCTTTTTCCAAGGTGTGATTGGCGACTCCGACTTCATTAGCGTTGGCCTGTACAGTAACTGGAAGCACTAGGAGCGCAGCGATGGATACCAGCAGCAGAGCACAAAGCGTAGACGACTTCCTTGCCAAAGGTCCGGTGTTGTGGTCCATTGGATGAAGGAGGCAGAAGAGCATGAAGCGCTGTTTTTGTTGTTGGCTTGGATGTGTTGACGTAGAGTTGAAGTGATTGAAGATTTGTGGTGTTTGGAAGGAAAAATGAAACAATCAACAAGGCTTTTATAGTAAATTTTGGTTTAAAGGGTCAGAAGTATGCACCGTTGGAATTTAATTCTTAAAATGTATAGTTACTGACACTAAATGAACTTCAATTTAAGTTCAAATTCTTTTAAAACTTGGTTGGATAAAATTGTTATTAAAATAATAGTCAAATTTAAATATCATTGAAAATTGAGCAATTGTAAATCTTCAAGTCGCTAAGCTATAACAGGGTCTGCCAAAACAGATTTTAAAAAGGGAAACGAGAAAAAAATAAAAGATAAAAAAGTTACAAGATAAAACAAATTTACGTTTAAAAGAAAAAGAAACCTAACAACAACATTAACAGCAAATTTAATCCAGTATTCTTGTAATCTTTCAAATCCAGCCGAAGCGAAAATTTTGAAAAGTCTGGCGGGCCAAGAAGGCAAATTTCTTCCTTTTTAGCACAAGAGTCGAAAATTTTAAAAACTTTGGAAGGTCAATGAACCATATTTCCTCTGTTTATGTGAAAAGTTCCACGGAAATCCGTATCGAGCAAGTTCCGTGTCAAAAAAAAGACCGGGGTTTCGGGTAATCGACCCATTCCTGGGTGAAGTTCTCTCCCATTCCCGAACGATAGAATGTGATAGCGAACTTTTGGAAGGAGTTTCAAGATTGTTTTTACTTTTATTCTTTTTTTGATTAAACAAAAGTGGATCGGAATTTCGATTTCCGACACCTCGAAACAAAAGCAGAAATTTAAACATTAAATTTCTTATTACACATTTTTCATGTATAAATTTCGATTTTTAATCCTCATAAACGAAATAAAATGAAAGTCTTTAAGTACAAATATGTATAGAAAAAATCATTTGATTAATTTATTTTCCGTTAATAATCAGAAGTAGAAAGCACACTTCCACAATCTTCAGGTCTTTCCCATCTCCAGAAATTCCCTTCTTTTCCATGAGCTCTTCAACCAGTTTATTTAATTCATCAATTTGGTTATCCTAAGAATTTTATATTTTTAGAGGTCTTTAAGTAAAAAAACGGAATGTGAATTAGGTATTTAAAAAATTGTGTGTCAAGGGTCCTTTGTTAAGAAAAAAGCGGGGAAGAATGCTTGATACTTTCGCAATGAATTCGAAAATTTAAAATTAGGTAACTTCAACAAAATTTTATGCTGGAAAACTTGGAGATTTTAGCACACCCCTCGCATAAATATGTTTATCACCTCCACATCCCAACTTGTAATTTTGAAGTTATCAGTCTAAGTCTTAGTTAGTCCCAAAATTTTGAATATTTATAATAAAACTTTTAATTAAAAATTTTCTTATCTTTTTTTAACCTTTCCTTGAATTGTCAAATTCAAAGTTTGTATTTGTGTCTCCTTCATTTTTAATCGACATTTAAGCCCTAAAGTATTTTTTTCGTGTTCTTTTTTAATTTTTTGAATTTCTAAATTTGCTCTAAAATTTATAATATTTTTTTATTTTTAAATAAAATTAACTGATTTAATTGAGAATCAGCAGTATCTTTCAATTCTTTATATTTTCTAACCTCCTCAGCAAGATTATTTTTTAATTCCTCTTCACTCTAAAAGAATCTGTTTTAATTTAAAAAACTAAAAACTTTTTTACATTTTTAAGACAAACAAAATATTCTTGGATTTTTTCATAGCGGTTAAATAAATCAGCATAATTACTTTGCAACTCAAGGAACTCTCGTCAATTTCCAGATCATTTCCAGTTTTTAATTGTTGAATTTCTTGTTTTAAATTTTTAATTTTATTTTCATTTTTAGACTTTATTTTTTGGATTCCCTGAAAATTTATTAAATTTAGTGAGACAGGGTATAATTTTTTGTAGACTTATGTACAAAATGTAAAGAGAAAATTGTACTCTTTGTAATGTATCTTTTTATGGACTCATAAATTAGAAGGAAAACAACAAAAATTAAAAGCTTTTAAAAAACTCTTGAAAAAATAATGGAAAAAGAGAAACCGATTTGTTGAAAAAATTTAGAAAAAGTTGCAGATTAAAACTTTTTTCGTTAAAAATTAAATTACTAATTACCTTTTTAATTTTTTCTTCCAAAAAATTAATTTTTTGGTCATTTTCAGCTTTTAATTTTTTATTTAATTTTTGGAAATTTTGTTTCAAATTTTTGATTTCATTTTCTTTTTCAGCTTGAGATCTTGAATTTGCTAAAAATAATTTAAAGTGAGTCGACGGAATATTCTGGTGCTATTCTAATCAAATCTACGAGCTCTTTAACAGTGATTATAAATTTCAATTTTGATCGTACTAGAACAAAAGTTTAAATAGTCTAAAAAAATATAAACATATACATAAACATTGCTTGTTAAATCTAATTGCAAATTAAAACTTTCAAAAATTAAATGAAATTTCAATCGTTATAAATTAAGCCATACGAAGAAATGCACTATTGCTTGTAGGGCCGTTAATAAATATATTTACTTAACTTTTTAATATCTTTCTCCAAAAAATTAATTTTATCAACATTTTCAGCTTTTAAATTTTTATTTTCTTCAACTAATTTTTGAAAATTTTCTTTTAAATTTTTTTTCATGTTCCTTTTAAAGTTTAAAATTACTATTTTCCAAAGTTAAATCATTAATTTTCAATCTCAACTAAAAATTTGTTTTTTAATTGACAAATAGACGGATCGGATCTCATTTGTACAACACCTCCATGCAGAAAAATGGATGGTAAAACATAACGTCATATAATTGAAGCCCATTTTTAAACTATCATAAAAAATAAATTTTTTACCTCCAATTTCTCCAAACGTTGTTTTAAACTTTTAATTATATTTTGTGATGAGCAAGAAGAACCACAAGTAGCGGACAAACCATCAATACTAAATATACGATTCCAAATTATTACTTTTTCCTGCAAAATTTTCATTTTCTTCAAGTGTATTTGTCCCACCCCTTTTTATTAGCATTACTTAAGGGGATGGAGAACTGGCTTAGGTTCAGTCTTGAGTTTTTGGGTTCGAGAACCTTTGGCCGGTTCTCCATCCCCCTTTTCCTCCCATTTTTATTTCACACTTTTTTATTTAAATAAATTTTTTTTAAAAAGAGCTCTTTTAATTTGTGTTTGAGTAGGCTCGCCCCAGTCGTGGCGTCCCACGGCTGGGACCCAACGCCGACCCGTTACCGGGTTTTCACATGGTGCTCCCAGGGCGCTTTTAAAATTTTTATATATCCAAAAATACAAATTTTATCACCTTAAAATTAAAATTAAAAAATTAATCCCAATCCCACTAAAACACAATTTTTCCACCCAATTAATTAAAAATTACCCAAAATTATTAAACAACAAAATTCGCCAAATTAGTGGAACAAACTATTACCACAAAAAGTGGCCAAATTTTTCTATATGTGGCCAATCCAATTCCATCAATCAAAATAATTTAAAATTTTATGTGTCATTTATTCCCTCAATTCTTATAAAATATTTCACCTTACTGATAGAAACGCCTAATTTTACATCGATTTAACCAAATAATTAAACTAATTAATCAACCAAAAAATTTTTACCCAAAGTTGTAAATATTTTTTAAACAAAAAATCTTGTGATAACCCATCCAATTTGGAGTAAATATAAACATTTCTAAATCAAGAAATAATTTAATTACACATTTCATTTTTTCAAATTTTTCTCCTCTCCGAAATCTCGCGCGTCCATTCCCTCCTCTTCTGTCGCTTTGCCCTCGCCTACTTGTGTTAATTTTCAAAAGCAAACAATTAACAATTTATTCCCTTCAACAAAAAAACAATTTACTTATTAAGGTTAAAACGAAAAGGTTTAGATATAAAGGGATAATCGGGCTCTCGCTTCTTCATAAAATTCTATTTAAGAACCAGGCCCAGAAGAGTTGTCAGAAAGATGGTAGAAAACAGGACTAGGGCCAATAGAGCAACCTCACAAAGATCCATCGCAGAAGCAGTATGGGTAGAAGTAGAAGCCGGTTGGCAGAGTTGGAGGGTCGGAATGGTTTCCGCGCAAAAAACCGGCTTGGCCCATAGATCAATTCCCCAGAAGTGAAATTGGCACTGATGTACGGGTGTGCAGGTCCGGGAGTAGAATTTCACATCAGTCAAAGCTAAAAAATATATGGCCATTAAATTAGGTCCCAAATCCCCAACCGCCTCAATTCTGGTCCGGACGGCCATTCTTGAGGTCCCCTTAGAGGGCAAAAAGCTAGCACTAAATCAATCAAGGGTTTGACTAGATTTTGGGACAATAAATTAGGAATATTAAATAAAACGCGTTTAATTTTAGCTCAAAAATTCCATTTTTAAAGAACTTTCGAAACAGACGGGAAACAACTGAATTGGACTCTGAATGATCTGAGAAGAGAAGATAGATACAACAGATATCTTCAAAGGCAGGAAGAAAGAAGATTGAAAATGGAACAATTACAGGAGTGATTATGGACCATCTGGAGTGATTATGGATTTTCCCGCCGACCATAATTGCACTATGCCACTTGAAGATGTACCGGATTAGCGAAACTAAATATTTTTGACCATTTAGATTGCCGAAGAAGTTTCAGATCTTCAGATGCCATAGGTGGAATATCCGCATGTGCACTGAATCCTATTTTGGAATTTATCGGAAGGAAAAGGACGCGAACATATATTTTTTAGAAATTTCGAAGGATGTATTGGGATACATGGGACCACCAGTTGTTATAAAGAAAGGGGAAAATTGGCAGACCTATACAGATTGAAAAAGGAGACTCTGGAATTCCTAGACTCTGGAATGGAAGTTGTTGTTGTGGAAGCATCATGCAGCCCAGTAGTCGACCCATGTTAAAAGAAAAAATTATTACGACTTAATTTTAAAAATAAAATAAACAATAAAGAGTAATACTGACCTAATCAAATGCATTGAATTGATCCACAAATTCTGACCAGAATGTTCAAAAATAAATGATTGTGACTAGAATAGAAATAGAAAATTGACTAGAATGCAAACCAAAATTTGACTAGGAAAAATGTCTAGAATGAAAAAGAAAAACAAAAATACTGAGGTGAAAAGGAAATTTGGGGAAAACCGGAAAATAAACCGCGCGCAAATAATCAATCAACAGAAATGGAACGGGATATAGAACAAAAGACTTGGCTAGCATTTAAAACGCTTACTAAGAGAGTGAATTGAGAAGAGAGGCTATTCTACATACTAATGGATAGAACGGAAAAAAGACAGCCAAAGCGAAAACAAAAATAAAATTGAAAAGTGGGAAGAAATTTGGAGAAAATTAAGAAAAATGTAAATAAAATTTAAAATTTAAAAAAAATGAGAAAAATGAGGAAAGTCGAAAATAAACTTGTTTAAACATTGAAAAAATTAAATAATGAAATTCACCAAAACAAAAATACAAAATGGCAAAAATAACTAAAATGGACGCTTCAGTGCCGACTATAACAGAAAAAGGGGTGTGCGCCAGAATTTTCGTCTCACCAACTTTTCGTCAACGATCTTTCGAATTGCCGCCACTCGAACAAAGAAAGAAGGTTTCCGCCTTTTCCTCGTTTTCGCCTTTTAAAATTCAAAATTCTCCAGCCATAAGTTATATGGGTAATATCTTTTGCCCTGAGTTGATATGAATAGGAAATAGTAAATAAGATGAATAAATTTGATTTATTTTCTGGGGGGATATTTTTAATTGAAAAAATGATTTAAGATAATTCTGGGAAAAAGTCAATTAGAATTTAGAAAATAAAAATACTGCCGAAGGTGCCGAAAATCGTAAATGCCAAACGGCAATGTCTCAGAAAAATGAAAATTCTTATGTATGTAATTCTAATAATTAGTATACCCTTCCTTCATTCTATTTCCTCTAAATTAATTTTTTTAAATATTTAACAAATTTTGATTAATTTCTCATCTTTAAATAATTTAATTAACAATTCTCTAAAGATGTATCGTGTATCATCAAATTCTGATTTGGAAAATATAGTAAATTTTTAAAAAATAAAAATAAATTAAAATAATTATTCAAGATATATAAACTTAGTATAAATCTTAGTATAATATAATAAATCTCCAAATTAATTTTAACATTCTACAAACTAATTTTAAAAATCTTCAATTAAACTTTATTGAAGAAAAGGAAAAGACTTTAAATCTGAAAAAGAAAAATTCTTTGCTTGAAGATCGATTGAAGGGAATGGATAAAGTTTGGATTTATTTTTGAATATTTTTTAAAATAAAAAAATAAATTCGAACAATGAGAAAAGAATGGAAGAAATCAGACAATATTTTCAAAAACTTTTTGAAAAGAAATATAAAAAATTGAAAGAGGAAAATATTCAAACAGATAGGAAGATTAATTTATTGGAGTACGAAACTGAAAAAGTAATTTTTTAAACTAAAATGAGAAATAGTCATTATTACTTAATTGTTTCATATGTTTATTTTATACTTTTTTAAATTGTCGATGTATTTTTGATTGAAGTGAAATTTATTTATATTTATCAGCATAAAAAAATTCATCGAAAGGGCGTGCCAATTAATTCGACAACAATGTCGTAGTGTGGCACAATAAAATTAATTAAAATAAAAACAGCATAAACAATAAAAGTCATAATAATATAAATAATAATAAAAACACAAGTTTATATATAAACAATTTATTCTTTAAATAAATATACTCTGTACCGACCATTTTAATTTAATATCCCCTACTACTTCATTCCCCTACTTCACCCAAAGCGCCACTCAGCTTCTTTTTAAGTTCGTCCAATAGATACACTATGGTGTTACTGGTAGTCCTTGCCCTTCCATCTTTTTGATAGTCAAAGGAATTGCTTGAAAATTGGACTTGATGTAAGCAAGATGATTTGCAACGTATTTCGAAGAAAATGCCTCTTGTGCTTTTCTTATAGAGACTGCATCATCTTGATCAAAAGTGTCGATAACCTACAAATAGAGTAATGTATAAATTAAAAGACATCAAAGTGACCGATTTAATAGCTCATAAATTTTATGCATAAAAATGGCAGCCCAAGCCATGACGACAAACGAGTTAAGACAGGTTTATATCTCTTTTTTTAATTGCCTATTAAAAAATACTTTTAAAATTTTTTATTATCAAACATTCTGAAAAACATTCTTATTATCAAACATTCTTAAGGTCCCTTCTTAAAAGTTTTGGTCAAAAATATTTTAAAATGTTACTATACACTACTAGGATCGGGATTGAATTTTGCAAATTGGTCGAGATCATGATCCCGTTCAACCATAAATTTAAATAAAGAATACACTTTAAATTTCATTTACTTTATTTTAATTTTGTTAATTAAAAGTTTAATTGAATAATTTTTTGTATTATTTAACGTTTTCTTTTATTTTATTATTCATAGGTTTAACATTTGTATTTTAATTAAATCTGAGCGCTGATATTCTTCGGAATTATTTTCGATTTGCTTCTAATAATTACAGGTGGCTTTATACTCGTTGGAGATTTCTGACCAAATATATATGTGTAATAAATGCTACAAATTGAAGCATCCTAAAATATAATATTTTAAGTAAAATTGGTTTTACTTAATATTAAATTTCTTAATTTATTAATCGCTAAAAAATCTCGAATAAAAAATAAGATAATCTAAAAAAATATTTTATTTAATGTAATAGAAAAAGGAAAAATGTTAAATATAATTAATTAAATAACTTACTACAGTACATAAAGTAATTGCCATTTCATTAGCTATAGACACAGAAGGTGTGATTGGAACCTGAAAATTCTTTAAAAATAAAATAATTTTTAATTAATTATATTATTAATGGATACAAAAACTTTCAAGATTTAAAAATATTGAAAATGCTCCAGGTATAACTTCAAAAAGAATTTCCATGTAAATTGCAAATTTGACCATACGATTTTTCTAAAAATAATTAATAACTTTATTAAAAAATACTTTTTAACCAAAATCATAGCTGCGCTTTGTGATTGACTTTCAAAATGTTTTAAAGACCAAAAGAAAAAAATGCAACAAATAAGATTTGAAAATCCAAACATATTTTTAATAAAAAGTTGAAATCTATTTTGATAAACAGTCATTAAGCAATCTACATAACGACAAGTCTGTGTAGCTGCTTTAAGAATTAAATTTAAAGTTCCTATTAAATTATGATACTTATATAGATTTTATCCAATTTATTCAAATAAAGTTGAATAAATTGAACTTTTCGAGTTTAGTCTAATGAGACTAAAATAATTTAACAAATTCAAAACTTTATTATACCGTAATAACTGTATTAATGTCCTTCCCTGAATTATTACCCCACCTGTATTAAATACCCCATGTAGAGGGAGATCAAAACAATAATTGCCCTCCCTCAAATAATTACCCCCACCTCTATTATTTACACACTCCAGCGAGAGATCGAAACAATAATTACCCAGGGTAATTAATACAGTTTGTACTCTAGTTATCCCTTTGGGAGAGCTTTAATCGTTAATAATTTAGCTTGAATTCAACCAAATTATGTTATTTTGTCACATTCGACTCAATTCGAAGAGTTCATTTGTATATAATTAAAAAATTTTTTTAAAAATTATTAAGAAATAGGATACAATCTATACATAGTACAGAATCAAGATTTCTTTTAAAATAAAATTAGTTCATAGTATAATTTAAGTAATGATATTCTTAAATATATTTTATAGCTTAAATCACATTTAAAATTTTAATTACTTCTATTTAATGGAAGTTCATTCAAATAAAGTATTAAACTTATTAAGTAGCAAAGTATCAAACAACAAGGTCCCACCCATTTAAATAGTGTTTCAAAGTATTTATTAAAATTCATAGACCAAAGAATCAAACAACGATCCAACATAAGAATAAAGGTTACAATTGGGGCACATGCAAAATAATTTAATTGCCATATTCCTGTCCAAAATAGCACAATTTGTTCTTCTGGTGAGCGCAAATCACCGGTACGTATTGTTTCGTCAAGGGATTTCCAACGAATAAATTCACAAATTGGATAGGCCAAACAAGTAAAAGTGCAGAACAAATGAAACAAAAAATATGTCCACATTGATAAATTCAATTGAAAAGCAAAAGGTTTACTTAAAACAAAGTTAAGCTCTATTCAAGTATACATATGAGACCAAAGAACTTTTATGTATAAGTCCTAAGAAATCTGGTCATAGATGAGACAGCGACCTTTTACGGCTAATCAGTTTTTGCGTGTGATATTCAATTTTCGATGTTAGAAAATAATTTAAAAAAAATCGAAACCATTATTTATTCATAAAAAAATTTATTGGACGCATAAAAATTCCATGTGACTAATAAAAGTTCATTAGTTATTATATAAATATTATTTACCATTTAACTAAGAAAATAAGTTTTGAGAGTAAAATAAGTATAATCAACTGAGCTATAATTAATGGTATCATAACAATAAATACATAAATTAATTCAAATTGTTTATTAGTGGTTATCCAATAATATTTAACTGCTGGGGATGTTGAAATAATACTAGGACTAGTTGTGCTGTTATTTGATAAAATTAAATCAAATGATGAATTGGACATTTTTATATTTCTGTAATATTTAATAATAAAATTATTAAGTGTTTGAGAATATAAAATTGATTAAAATTTGAAAATTATAAAATAAAATATTAAATATTTAGCTTTACAAATTTACTTAATTATGAAATTAGAATTTTGAATTTTTAAAGGAAGTAAAATGCGTAAAAATGCGTGCGTAAAAATTATTTTTTTTTAATTTTAAGTAATTATTAAGTATGTTATGTCTAAGATAATGTAATTTAACACAGATACTTTCAAATTTAATCACTCATTCATAACCAATTAAGATTTATTTAATGACTTCATTTTGTGTTTAATATATTGTTACTTTAAATTACCGATTAATTTTTTACATTTGAATTAATATATTTTCTAACAAGCTTTAACAAGCTTTTTTTAACAAGCAAATAATTGTATTATTTTTAAAAGTTATTATAAAAATAAATTACCGTATTTCTTCTAGTAGACCGACCCCTTCTATTAAACCGACCCTCTAGAAATGGTTGAAAAATAAACCGACCGGTCGCATTATCAGAAGAAATTTCGTAAATATTAATTTATTAGTTGCAATAATCTATTCTAAGAAGTAAATAAAAAAATAAACTAAAATCTTAATAAGAATTTATCAAAATAAAAAATTTACTTATACCTATTTAAAAATTAAATTTCAATGATTTTTATTTTTTTTGATTGTCTTTTGATAATTATTTGTTGCTGTTTTAATTCTATTTGATTTTTTAAATTTACTTTAGTTTCTTGAAAAATTTATTCAAAGATACATTAACCAGAAACGCAAAAATACAAATAAAAACATTTTTTTAAATTTTACCTTCTCATTATTTATCAACTAAAACCAAACTAATTGCTTTATTTAACAAGATATGTAAAAATTTATACACGCGATATAAATTAAGTCAATCATAAAGTGCAACAATTATTATATACATTTCTAAAATTATTTTTTATTTAAAAATTTAAAAGCTTCGTTATTTGTTTTACGATATTTATTTTAGCTACTTCTCTTCTATTTAGTAATTTTAAAAATAATAAAATGGAATTTATATTATGGAATCGTGAAAATTTTGATAAAATTTATAATTGTACGGGAATTAATGTTGATGATATTCCAATTGAAAAAAGAAGATATCCAATAACTGCAATTATTTGTATATTACTTGGATTTATATATTATGTATTTTTTATTTAAATTTATTTTTTTTTAAATTATTTTTAAGCCTTTATATTTTCCTCGTCTTTACTTTTTTTGGAAGAATAGATCAAAAAATCCTTGTTATATACTTTTAATTTATCTTTCATTAATGGATATTTGTATACTTTGGGTGCCAACTTTTGCAGTTGGAATTTTCAGTCTAAATTTTCAGTCTAATTTCAGTCTAGGCCTTCCAAAATTCTCAAAATTCTTGCCTGCAGCGCTGGAAATGGAAGAAAACTGGCTTCTTGGCCTTCCAAAATTCTTAAAATTTTTGCCTGCGGCGCAAAGAAATGGGTTAAATCTGGCTTCTTAGCCGTCCAAAATTTACGAAATTTTCGCCTACGGCGCTGAAAAAAGAAGTAGAATTAATTGAAAAATTAATAAAACTAAATTTAAATCGGATAAATTCAATCTCCCTATATCTAAGAATATTAGTTTTCAGCGGAATCGAAATTGTACCGGTACCGGATCCAATTTAAGTTCCGGATCCCGAAACTGGAACTTTTTTTCGATCTCTCTATATAGGTATTAGAGTTCCAAAACTCTAATATATGAGTTCGAATTCATTCCAAAATTTTTGCACAGGCGCAAAAAGGGTTTTTTGGCTTAAGGATCATCCAATATTTTCAGTTTTCGCCTGCGGCGCAAAAAAAACGAGGGAAAGAATGGACGGATCTATGATCCATCATTTGACGATACCTAATCTGACAATATCCAATTGATTCCCCGAATTGTATAGATTTTGATATTAATACACACAAATCTCACTATAATCAGCCCAAATCCCGCTTAATCCCTTGATATCCATCTCATTCCTCTGTTATCGCTTGATATATTGTTAAATTATAATTCGTAGTAAAGATAGGTGAGCAAAATTATTAATTTTATATTGATTTTTTTTGAATTATGAATTGTTTTTAAAAAATTCTAAAAATAAACGGTAAACGGGCGTTTAAACGGGGTCTTCAAAAATAAACGAAACGGTATACGGGTCTCAGATAAACGGCATAAACGGTATACGGTTTTTTCAAAATTAAACGGTTTTGTGCAACCCTACTTATTTTGTTGGTTCTGAGGTTTTATGTATGTTTAAATTTTTACAACCGCTAATTTTTTAAAATTTAATCTAGACTTTTAATTTGAAATTTTAAAGAAAAATTATCGATTTACTAATTTAAAACAAAAAGTATACTTTATGATAAAGAGATACATATTTAAAAAATAAATATTGTAAATAAGTGTATTTTATAAAAATTATTTTTCATTATTGTACTATCATCGTTCTACATAAAATATTTAATACCGTAAATGTTTAAATAATTATCCCTTCTAATAATTACTCACTATTTTTTCTACATTATCTTTAAAAAAATTTTACTTGGGAAATTCATTGTGAAAGAAAACACTACAGAGCTGGAATTACCGTGGCTGTTGGGAATTACACAGAAAAATTGCATGACAAGCTATCATGCGAGGTGTAACTTAATTTTGATGATGTAGGGCTAGTGTCCTAAACAAAGGGTACCGGACACATGCTGGGATCAGAGGTGCGTTGTAGGATGACTGGCAGAATAACACTCATAATTTATTGTCAGTCATACTTCAACGCACCGCGAAAAACGCGTCCTCAGGATTCGGGGTGCAACCCTAATTGTAATATACCACTACAGAGCTGGAATTACCGTTGCTTTGGCATTACCGTGGCTGTTTGGAACAACTTTTAGTTTGTCTAAGAATCTATTTTCTACATTAAAGCTCGGACATAAAAAATTTCAATAAAACTGATACACTTTTTATTTAATTAAAAATTTATATTTTGTTTAACATTATCTAACTATTGTGCTTATCTTATAGTTAGAGCTTTTTATTATTTTACAAAAATTAAAAAATCCTTCTTAATAACAACAAGTAGCAATGTTTGGATTTTTTGATGACATTGAAGAAGAAGCTGGACATCTTGGGCAACGTGGATTTCTACACTGTTGCGTGCGAATGTTGTAGTTGTAGCATCTTGCTCTTTTAACACGAAATTGTTTTGGCTTAGGATAAATAAATTTATGATATCTATATTAGATCTGGCCCATATCTTCGGGAATTACTGAGGTACTTAGGGAGAGTACTTTTGTAATTTTGTGAAGTACCTATGCCCTAAGGCAGCTTATATTATTTCCGTAAATGCATGCCCCCATATCTAATTATAAAATACCTGATCAATAGCAACAACAGGAGCAGGTGGAGGTGCCAAATCCACAATTTGTGCAATTAAAGCAACTACGAATAAAAAGCAAAGAGTTGAAGAATACATTTTTATTTTAGTATTTTGACGGGGTTTTAAGATTAGAATTTAAAAATATTTATGTTTATTATGTTCGGATTATTCTCTTATTTATAAGACTTTAATCAGCTTTTTTCAAGCAAATTTAAAAATAAGTTGTATGTTTACTAAGATATTTGGTAAAACTCTTTTCTTACTAAAGCATTCCTTTTACGGACTTTTTATCCACCGTTAGAATTTAAATAATTAAAAATTATTTAAATATGTAAAGGCGTATTTCTGGTATTTTAAAGTTAATATAAATTATTTATTTCCTTGTTTTTTTATTTTTAAATAATGGTTTTATTAACTTTTTGGCTGGAACAAATTCGACAAATGATTTGTTATTCGAAGAGCTCGACGAGAGCTCTTCGAAAGAGCTCTCAAAAAAATTTTTTGTGGGACATATTTGTTTTCTAGGCGATTATGGTTTTTCTCATTCATATAAAAAATTAATTTCAAATCAGAGTGAATATAGTTGAATATTAAGCTAAATTACATATATACAAATATTAAAATTTTTTAATTATTTAATTCTCCTCTAGAAATAATGGAAAGATATTGAGGGATCATGAGGAATTAAGAATGGATTAGGGGAATTAAAAGATATCGAGGAATTTTAGGATTAATAGAATTGTTTTGATTGCGAGGATTGAGTGGATTTGGTGGAATTAATAGAGATTGGTCGAGAAATTCTCACATTCACTTTTCTTCTTAATTTCATTAATTTAATCCTTTAATTGGGTAACAATCAACAAGAGTGGCATAAATCCATTCACCTTCCGGAGTTTGCCAATACCAATTTGCTTTATTTGAACCTTCCACAGTCTGAATTTTAAATTTATTTTCAATTAACAGAGTTTTATTTAAACAAATTAGATTATTTAAAGTTCCTTTTTCTTTATTCTTTTTTCTCTATGGCAATTGTTATAGCGTACGATATATGTAGGTTTAAATACCGTATTAGAATTTTAATTTGCTGAAGATTCAAATAGTATTTTTAAATTTTCAATTCAAGATTTACACTTCAAACCCCGAGACTTCGATACATAAAATGGTTATTTGAGGAATTTTATTACCTTGCAGTAAAAACATGTTGTATGTTTACATTTTGGATCATTGTTTTTAAGACAGGCATTTTGTTGGTACATACCATTAATCTTAAATAAATGGTTAAAATAATTTTGAATTAAAAACTAACAATCATCGTATTATTCCTCTTACAAGTTAAGCAAAATCTAGGTCCTGTGTTCGGTGGTCCTACAACCTCCTCTCCTTTTTCATTTTTCACATATAATTCCATGGGAGTTTGCAAATTATTTGGATTCCAAATAGATTCACGCACTTTTTTACAATTTGAAGACTCTTGTGAAGGTGCGAGTTCTGAATTATAGTTCAATATTTAAATATTTAGAGCTTTAGACTTTATGTTAATTGTCTTTAGGATAAAACAATTATGTTTAAATGAAAATTTATAAATTATTCAGAATTAACGAGAAACAATGAAGGTAATATTCAATTTCGTTCCCCCCTTCTTTTTCATTCCTCAAAGTATTAAAAAATGGTCAGTCAATCTTAAGTTATAGAACTCGTTAAGCTGTGTCGAATGACACCAAAATCAACGTTATTAGACAAGGTACAACAAAGTTATGTCATGAAGTAGAACCTTTCGGTGTCGGCGACTTATGTCATAACTTTGTCAAATCTTGTCCAATCACGTTGATTTTGGTGTCATTCGACTCAGCTCGACGAGCTCTTTCGAATGAGCTATCGTTTGTATAATTTTCGTCCTTATGGTTTTTCGCCCCTATTGTTGTTCAATTTTTTGGGGTCTGTATTTTGGTCAAATGAAGTCGGCTTTTGTCGATATTGGTGTCATTCGAGACAGCTCGACGAGTTCTATAACTTAAGATTGACTGACAGTAGTAAGTATCCACCCCATTTCGGGGGGGAGGGGTCCGGTCAAACCAAAGGGTGTAGGGGGTTTCCGCCTAATTTTCTTTGATTTTGCCGACATTATCCTATGGGTGTAGGGGGTTTTCGGGGGATTTCCTTTGATAATTAGGCTGACTAATTGACCAATTAACACCTATTGAACAAATCCCTTTGAACTTGCCGATACATCGAAGTCTATGGGAAGGGGTTAATTGACCAATTAGTACCTACTAATTGGTTTTAACTGAATCTAACCAATGAATCGTAGTCATGGGGTAAGGGTATACCAATTAGTGAATAATTAATTACATTGGGTGTTAGGGTAACTAACTACCCAAATCACAGGGATTAGGGTGTAGACGACCAATCAGTAATACTAAATGGTTTCTTTTATGTTACCGACAAATTGAAGTCGTGGGGGTGAGTGTTACTTGGACAATGGACAGTGGTACTTTGACAATGGACATAATGGTCAACAACAACGATTTAACCCATACAGCTCTCTTTAGAGCTTTAAATTTAATAAGTGAAACGAGACATTGGCTAATTGATTTTTATTTGTATAAACTTTTTAAATTGTAAAACTTTTTATTTGGTTATTATAAACTTTTAAATTAGTAATTGTGTAATTTAACAGAGCCCTCTTTAATGTTGCCGAATGAAGTGCGCGAAAAATACAGTATTTTTTCCTTTATTTTAGGAAGGGAAGGTTAGAGACGCAGAACAGCAGTGTGACTCTATTTATCTCTTATATTTTATATAAATACTCAGTTCTCTTCTCTGTCTTGCAGTATTATGGTTGGTCTAACAATACACTAGAGTCTGAGAAATAATTCAATAAAAAATCGTCACGGAGGGGTTTCGTACCTCAACCTTTGCAACATAAACCTTCAATCTAACCCAAACTCTTCCGAATGAGCTACCGCGACAGTAGTTAACCCGACCCCCGTGTCGCGGGGGCAGAAGGGGCTGTCAGTTAATCAATCAAAAAGTCATTTCGCACCCGGCCCCTTCCCCACCAACCAAAAGGCTTTGAGACTCTATTTCCCTCAACCACCCCTCTCTAATTAAAGGTTTCCATCACCCAACCCAAAAACATTAAAGCTTTTCCTTTCCCCTTCTTCCCCCGATCCACCCATCAAACCAAAACCTATTGGGACTCTTTCTTTTGTCCATCCAAAGACTTGAGGCTTTTCTCCCCACTCATGCAAATTTCCTTTGTCTGCTGCGACTTTCTTTTCTTCTCTTTATATCCTTTTGCCTCCAAATCCTTTTCTCATCAAAATATAATCCTTTTATTTTATTGCTTTGTTTTTAATAGTTTATTTTCCACAAAATTTTTCTTTATTTTGCCGATATATTTTTTCTTTTTGAATAATATTTTTCCTCCTTCACTTCTCTTTTTCATTTCATGATATGTCTATTTTATATAAAAATAGGCAAATTCTATTATTTTCAATGTTTTTTATTAAAAATTTAATTTTTGTTAATTTATTTTTAGTAATGTATTTTCTAGTAATTTAAATATTTTTAATAATTTCTTTTTATATATTTAATATCTAGTCATAGGGTGGGTTGAAAAAGTCCAGTCGGGTTTCGGGTCGGGTCTTCAAAATTTTCTAGTCTTATAGTTGTTTTCTAAAATATTTTTAATTGTATTATTTTCCCTATTTTCTACAATCTCATTAGTATAGAAAAAATTTTTTCCTCTATTATTTCCTTTCTTTTTGTAGGTTTTCATTTCAATTTTGAGAACTTTTTTAAGAATTGCTCCCTATTTAACCTGTTATGTATTTTATGTTTTTAAATATTTATTTTATATATTTTTCCGTGGGATGGGTTGTTTGAGAAAAAAAGTTTAATTTTTATTTATTTAGAGGGATATGGGGTGTTAAAGTGTAAAAAAAAGAAAAGTAGTTATTGTGACAACCTGATTAGGCAAGTCGAAATTGAGGAGTATATTTGGACTTTTAAAAATTTTTTATAATTTTATATTCACTAATATTCAGTAATATTCAGTAGTTAATACCTGCAGTAGTTATTCCAAAAGACCGATACTTAGTAGTTAACACCCCTTTGGGTTTCAGTAGGCCAGATTTCTTACTTTTTCAAAGCCGCATTTTAGTCTTATGTATACAGTAGATAATTTATGAACACCTCACCATAATTTACACCTCATCACATTTTTTCTGTTTGACATCTGGGGATATATCTATAGTATACCATTTTGGGGAGTTGCACATTTGACCGAAATGTATTTTGGTTAAATGTATTTGTCCATTTGATTCCTCGTTTATCTGGGGGTATAAAAAGGGGCGATTTATTGTAAAATCTTTCATTATTTCAAAATGTCCGATATAAAATTCCCAAAAATATTACCTGAAGTTGAGTTTAACATCTCAGCTACAGGGATTACAATCTCCAGTGTCCGATATACAACTCCCCGTTTTCTTCCTTACGACCAAGGAGGGAAATGTCGTAAGTGCAAAAGCACAGAAGTTGAATTAGATTTTATAATAGTAAAGGAAGGGGTTGGACTGCCAATTTAATTAACAAATTTATTTTCTTAATCCTGAATCCTCTATAATGGAATTATATTATAATGGGTTATTTAGAAAAAACGCGATACCGCTACTGATCGTTTAAACCGGGTCTATAAAAGTCCTAGTTATTTTAGAGGGGGCATCTTTTAAATGAATCCCAATTGTCGATCCGAAGTCAATTTAAAAACCAACTCATTTAGGAATATATCAGCAAAAATTTCAACATCATTTTTTCCTTCTTTAAAAATTAACAGACCATTCCAAGGAATATTTTTAAACTTATCAAATTCCTTCGTTTCCTTTAGAGCGTTGAGGCAGAGTTGACTTTCGCCTTTTTTTGTCAGTTCATAAGCCTTGTTAAATTTCCAATTCCCTTCAGAGTTAGGAGAAAGTTGGCTGGGATAGCAGAATAAAATTCTTAAATTTTAATTTATTATTTAATCTTTTTTATAAGGCAATAAGTAATGTCTCGATCCCAAAAAATCAAACAGTTATTCTAAATTAAAAAAATTTACCCGCTACACCCAGCCACATCATTAACCGGAATTTTATGATCATTAATGTCCTTCTCCATAATTACTTTAACAGTACTTATGGGCTCGAACATTCTGTCGTTTATGGAGCAATTTATTAGAAAAATACGAACACAAAAAATAATTAAAATGGCTAATAAAGCCTGTAAAGGCATTATAACCATTTTCAATGAAAATCTAAAAAAAGTTCTTTTAATTTCTAAATTTCACTCTCGTTATGAACCGTAATCAGGGTAACCGATAGATAGGAGAATATAACTAATATGGCGATATACATTGAGAATAATTTTCGGGACTTTTGTTAGGGTTTGTTAACTAAATAATCCGAGCGACGTTATGTCCAAGTTATAACCCGTGTCAATTATATGGATATTGTAAATTAGGTAAATAAATTTAAGTTTATGAATTTATTCATTTATTAGTATAAAACTGCTGACTAATAAAAATATGATAAAATTTTTTTCTAAAACTAAACTAAAACGAAAACTAAAAATACTATGTAGTAATAGAAAATTATGCACATAAATAAATTTATTTATAAAATTAAAAAAAGGAAATCAACAAAAATATGATTCAACAGATAAATATTAAATAGTTTATAAATTTAAAATTCATATCTTAGATGGAATAAATTAACTAATTTTTTTAAGTAGCTAAAAATGCTTTAAACGGCATTATTATAACAATCTTTAACGAAAATTAAAAAATATATTTTTAATATTTAAGTTTGACTCTCTTTATGATCCCAAAAATGGACTGGACGAAAGATCGGGATTTAACGAGTGCCATTATATCATAAGAAGTTCTTAAAAGAATTTGTAAGGCCATTGAGTATGAATCAGGGCCGTAAATTAAAAATAAAAAAGAAAACAAATTAATTATTCTAGTACCAACATAAAATGAAAACAAATAATGATAGAAAATTTAAAATACAAAAATTAGAAAAAAGGCAATCAACGATGTGTGTGGCCAAGCAAAAGTGTTGATGACTGTAAAACGATATAACTAAATATATAATTAAAAAAAGATTTTTATAACTATTAGGTGCGGACATAATTAGTGGCCGTTTTTTTCGATTGAATTTTTAGGGGTGTTATTTTACGTATATTCTTTTTTCGTATTAACCAACATAAAGATCTGAATCAGAGCTGCACGAAAATGAAATGTTGTCCTTAACGAAACGAAAACGAAAAAAATAAAATCATCAATGTACGAAACGAAAACGAAACGAAAAAATAAATTTCATTTTTACGAAACGAAAACGAAACGAAAACTCTTAATTTTCCACGAAACGAAACGAAAACGAAACGAAAACAGTCAAAATTTTGAATCTTTAAATTTTAAGTAGATAATAGGTTTTTCGAGGTTGTACATGTCTAAATGCATCAAATATTTGGTTGAATTCAAATATTTGCCTCCAAATCCTCTGATATCCCTTCAAATACTTTGATATCCACTTGATCCATTATATTTCTTGATATTCCCGATTTAGGAGGTAAGAAATATATGGTGATTTGGAGTAATTAAGAGGAAGTGTGTGAATATTATTAAGTGGATTAGGTGGAGATATTTAGGGGCTAAGGGATTTAGAGATATTTGAAAAAAATTTGATCTTTTCCAAGAGTGGTCAAACAAATATTTGATCAAATAAAATCAAATAAAATTCGATCAAATATTTAATTTTCCAACATCAAATACATATGTATTTGTTTGGTGCGATCTCTAATTTCCATTACTAGAGATGACTTAAAAATTTGACATAGAACCTAAAAAATTTCTAATTGTTCTAATTTTGGAGACACATACATCTTACAATTAGACCTAATCACTATATTCATTTATTCTACATGTTTATTCACTATATAAAAAAATCAAAGGGGATTTAAGTGATATCAGAGGAGGCTAAAACTTACAAGTTTATTCTTTTTCAGCGCCGCAGGCGAAAATTTTGAGAATTTCAGAGGGCTAAACAGCCAAATTTCTTCCATTTTCAGCGCCGCAGGCAAAAATTTTAAGAATTTTGGCTTAAAAATACTATAGAAAAGCAAAAAAATGTCTAAAATATCAAAAATATTTTCGTCAATTTTCGTCCAAAAATGGCATTTTACGAAACGAAAACGAAAGAAAATATTTTTTCAACGAAAGACGAAACGAAAAAAAAAGTAAAAAAATTTTCAAACGAAAACGAAACGAAACGAAAATCATAAAAAATCCACGAAAATAACGAAAAACGAAACGAAACGAAAATTTTCGTGCAGCTCTGATCTGAATCTCCTCTTCATTTTAATACCAGATATAGCTAAATACGGATGATATTCATAAAGTTATGATTTTTTGAACTTCACTACCTCGTAGTGAAATTTTCAAGCATTTACACCAAAAATTTTAAATTACCAAAAATAAAACAAAAGAAACAAAAAATCGTAATAATCTAGTCAATGGGATCGTTATCTATGCTAGAAAGCAAAAAATAGGGTTCGGGCTTTACGAGGAAGGCCGTATGACTCTCAGAAGCAAACATGGTCGGTGGAGACGGGTGTCATTAATAATAACGTCCTGCTCGGCCGGTTTAGATGGTATCCGGTTATTTCTACTGCTGGATTGTCGACGGATATCTGCTCTATACGTATGGCCACGCGTGGCCCAAAAAAGGGTCCTGCGCTTCAGGAAGGCAAATCAAATGCCGCGTGTACACTCGTTTGCACAAGTGGGAAAACGACACGACATCCCCCACAAAAACGTTTTCTTAGAACTCAGCGTAAAATCATCCGATCAGGATGATCTAAACGGTTTTTTAAATCTCATACAGGGCTAATACTAAATCCGAAATATAAAGTCTGTATATCGTGTCGAACCCCGGAATTCGAAATTCGACTTTTTCGAAAATTTAGACCTTTCGGATTAAAAATTCGACATTGTGCCCGACGGATAGAGATTTTGAAGGGCTTTCAAAACATATATCACACTAACTATTATCATTACATATACTCGAGAAAATTTGATTTCCGGTGATTTTGGGAATTTTGATATTTTCGATCAGAACTCCCTGAATACCTAACCAAAAATTCTCAAATGCTGGAATCCTTTAGATCATACTCTAACAGATGATTTGTAATAAAAATAAAAATTATTTTTAGAAAGCTTAACTTTAAAAATCCAAAAAACCCAAAATAAAAAACGGCCACTAATTATGTCCGCACCTAATAGATAGAAATAAATTTAAAATAAGTTAAATGAATAATTAGCTAGTTTTTTTTATTTTAAATATTAATAGTGCACTATTTAGTAGTTGATATATACATATATTTAAGTGAATAATCTAAACTTTTTTGATATTAT